GGGGCCGGTGACTCTTCCAGCCGTGGCTGATGTTCAAGGGGAGATGAGAGACTCGGGGCTCCTCAGATGGTGTTAGGTTAGCTGCCGAGACCCCAGGACCCCAGGGGTGTTGGTTCCACTGCCCTTGGCAGTTCTCTGAGCCATCACTTTCTCTGGGGATTTTTGGTTTTGGTCCTAAACGTATAAAGGGGTGTTTGGGGGCTGAGAGGAAGCAGATGCTGGAGAGTTTGGACTGATCCTCATCTGTCGTGCTCCCCCTTCCCACTAAAGAAACCAAATCTAACATAAAACCCCAAAGGCAAAAAAAAAAATCCAACAGAAAATGTGATTATGAAATGTGACTGCGGTACCCTTGGGGAAATGTTCAGAGTCCATCCTCCGTGCGTGTGCGGGGTGCAACCTCCCGCCTCTCGTGGGTGTCTCAGAGACACCACGTGTCATGCAAGTGGCCGAGCGGCAGGAAGCCCAGGGCAGCGAGCTGGGAGCCAGCCCCTCTGGAAGGGCAGGGCCTTCCCTGTGTGGGATCCCCCCCCCCCCACTCTCTCCAGTGGGCTCTGGGTCGTGAGGGGATGCTTCTCTCCACACCCCCAGCTAGAGACTGCTGGGGACCCAGTGAGGGGATGGTTTTCCAGATGTTTCTTGCTCGAGTGCAACTTGGAAGAACTTCCCCCCACTCCGTTTTGTTTCCAAAGTCAATTTATTGAATATTAAGTCATAAAGCCAGTGATATAATTTTAATGAAAAATATCCTGTATCACTCACGACTTAATAGCACAAAAATACCCCTTAAAAACACTGTTTTGAAAAATAACCACATTAACTTTACACACAACAGCGTCCTTTCTTAAGCTTTATTTAAGAAATCGAGTACTATATAGTTCAATATATATAAGACACATCCAGTATTGTGTTCCTGATAGCAGTGCATAGATTTTGTTAAGATAATCATTTTCACTCGATAGAAACGCCTCATGGTCACACGGAGAGGATTTCCAGTGATTTTGCCCAAGCATGAGAGGAGAGAACAGAACACAGCAAAAATAGTGAACTACAACAGAGATGAAAAACAGAAACAGTGACCGAGCACAACAGTCGATTCCTGATAAGTGAATAAGCTGATTGTTTGGCCACAATATTTTATTCACTTATCAGGAATGATTCGCTTGGAGGTTCACTTCCTGGCCTGGCCACTCCGGGTGCGCTCAGCCCTCCTCCTCCTTGCTCCCGTCTTTGGAGAATTCTGAGTTTTCCAAAATTCTGATTTTCCCAAACAGCAGGGAACTGCCTCCATCATTCCCTTCCTTGACTTGGCACAAGCATTCTGCCTCATGCCAAACGGAGGGGGCACTGGTGTCCCCTAATGTACCTCAAACACAGACACTTGGATCTTGGAAAGAACTGACCACCTCCTCCCCACCACTCCCCACCCCACCCCCTCGGTCCGGCCCCCACCAAAAATAAAATGGCACATTCTTAGCCCTCTGTCCTCTGTCGGGAGAGGTGTGCAGAGGCCCGGGCGGAGGCCGTGCTGGGGTTTGGCCGACCTCTGGCTCCTGTGCCTCGCCAGGCCCTCTGAGCACCTACGGGAAAGTGTCCTCACATCCCCAGGAAGGCTGCGGGGTGGGGGCCTGAGCAGGGAGGGGCTGGGGGCCAGCAGCGGTGGGCGCTTTTAAGAGCACTTGGAGGGCGAGCCAGTTCCTGAGCGTGCGGAGGGCACCGGGAGGGGCCCGTGGCTGAGTTCTAGGGGGAGGGAGGAACAGTTCCGGGGAACTGGTGTGGGGGTGATGGATGAGGGCTCTGAAAAGCCAGGAGGGGCGTGGGTGCGGGCTGAGAGAGTGCCCCTCGGACCCGGGGCCTTCCCTGCCTGCCATGGGCCTGAGTCCCCACCCGCTCACCACCCAGCCCACCCCCTGCTCCCGCCGCCCCGTCCCCACCCACCTGCTCCCCGTGTTGGGGTGCAGGGATAGACCTTTGTCCTTCCCCGCTCTGCAAGCCTCATTCTCCCACGTCCAGCAGCGGTGTCCAGTCGGGAGTGGGGGGAGCGGAGGAGGTGAGGGGGCGATTCCCCACCACGTGTGGGGCAAAGACCGTCAAAGCAGGCTTGTGGCGATCCTGGCTCAGTGGGCAGGCGAGCCCGGGAGCCAGAGAAAAAGCACAAATCGCCAAGCACGGCAAACGGGCAGTGGTGTGAGTCGAGGGGGCTGGTGTGCAGAGTCCCCGAATCAGATATTCACTTAGGCGGAATCGACTGTATCTTTGTACACAACATAGAGGAAAAAAAAATAAATAAAACGTACGTGAAACAGTGAGGCGTGTAGATGTATCACCAACACATAATGACTGCCAACAATACAACACGCAGAGAGAGAAACGAGTATTAGGAAAATGGTTTAATATTGGAGACAGAAGCAAAAAACTGCATCACACAGTAACATACGTTACAAAAATAAGTTTGACTGTTTCAACTACACGGTTATGTTCACAATGAGGACAGAAGAATCAGAAAAAACTTTGATCTAAACAGCAAAAAAGCAAACTGCTAAATTTTAACTAATACATTTATCCACTTAAAGTGACCAAGTACTTCTAAATCTAATTACCTTATTGTGTAACTGCACGATACAGAATAAAAAGTGAAACTTACCGCTGTATTTTAAGACAAAATTCTAATGCTAGATATAAGCAAAGGGAGAAAAGAAACCAAGCCAAAGTTTTTAATTCTCAAAAGAAAAGCAACTTTCTTCCTATCAACCAGAAATCAAGCTTGAAATCAGTCATTGTCGAGGCCCACGAGAGTAAGCCACAAAAATTTCCTTTTTTTTTTTTAATCTCCAGTATAAAAAGTTCCACTGGTACAAAATGCATAAGTACAATCAGTTGTAGAAATAGGAAAGCCTGCGTTTTTTTTTTTTTTGGCTCAAATTCCATCAAACAACAAAATCCAAATGCATCAATAAAACAAACAATACTCAAATGGTCTTACAGTTTCCACTAGGTTGCATTAACTTTGGCTTTTCTCAGACAATATTTAAAAACTATTTTATAATTCTAAACAAAATGGTATTATTTAATCTACAAACAGCAATTCTCACAGCACAAAAAAACACAAATACATTTTTTGTATGACATTATTCAAAAAGGTAATGAAACTACAGGTTTTTTTAAAATTTTATTTCTTGTTAATTATAGCACTTAAGATAATAAAAACAGAAACAGTAAAATGATTCCAGAGTAGCACAAGCCAAAGAACGGTCACCCCTAGGGTGGATGCAAGGCGGGCTCGCCGCGCCGTGGATAGTCATTGTCTGCAATGCTCTCTCAGAGTTTAAAAACCACTAGACTCTACACTTGATGTTTAAAAAGCGGGTTCCCTGTGAGTGTATGTGTGTGTGCACGTGTGTGTTTTTCTTCTGGCAAGGCCCTTGCACCCTTGCAGCGTTTTCCTTTCGCTATTGAATACAGAAGGACAACTTGTCTTTCGAGGAGGGTTATCGTCATCACAATGAAACATGCAAAGGGGAAAGAAAAAAGAAAAGGTGGATTTTTCCCCCTCAAAGTGCTGTGCTGCTGGCCTGCGCAGGACAAGGCGCAGCCCAAGTGTTCACCCTGAGCCCTGCGCAGGTGCCTCTGGGGGACATGCCAGGGGATGGGGGTGCCCGTGGAGAGATGGGAACCAAGTTCTGGAGATGCACGTGTAACCGCTAGACGGAGAGATTCCAAGGATGTGCTCTTGTGTCTTCGCCCACCACCCCGTGGCGAAGAGGAGGGCTGTGTGCGGTGACCTCTGTTCCCGGCCCACGCTGCGGGAAGGACAGCGCAGCCTGCAGAGGGTGACGGAAGGCCCCAGCAGTAGTAAACACGCGAGTGTGAGGAGAAAACAGAGCGTTTCATTAGCAGTGCATGTGCTGTGGGAAGGAAACGTGCGTGTGTGCGTGTGTGCATGTGTGCGTGTGTGTGTGTGTGTGTGTGTGTGTTTTATTTTTTGCATCGTTATAGAGGCTGGTCCTTCCCATCCACACGCATCAAACCTGACTGGTAGTGGGTGGGGAGAGGGGCAGGTGAGGCTGCCAGCAGTGGGGACAAGCCACCTAGAGGCGCCTGGCAGGGGCTGAAGGGGTGACACTGTGCTGGGTCAGGCGGCGGGAGATGTGCTCACGTGGAGTGACATCAAAGGAGTAGACATGGCACTTGTCAAAGTGGCAGCAGGAACTGGTGCTAGGTATTTGGTCAGCAACTGTGACTGAGGACAGAGATCCGCAGGGCGGAGCAGTCCCATTTAAATGCATTCCATTGAGAAAAGAAAGGCAGGGAGGGAGCCCAGCGCCTAGCCCCGACCCTTGCTCACTCATGGGCGTCCGCAGGGCTGGTGGGAAACGTCATTCGGGACCAAAGAAACAGAAGTGGACCTCCCCAAGACTGTGCCTGGGCAGTCCCTGAACTGGCGGCCCACGGACGCAGGGGCTCCGGATTAGGTGGTGCCCCTCGCTCCGAAGGTCCTGCCTGCCCCGGGGACCGCCAAGAGTTAAAACTGAGGCCAGGGTCCAGCAGCACGCTGAGAATTTGTTTGTAAAAAAATGATCAGAAAGAATCAATATTAAAAAAAAAAGTGTACTTATTTATCCCCCCTTCAAATCTGTTGGTTTTTTTTCCTTTTGAATCTCATCCAAAGGATAAGAAGAAAGTAGTATGCACTCAAAGAATGGTATATGCCGAAAAAAAAGTCCAAATTTGAAACGCCCCAAAACAAACTAAAATGATGACAGTATAAAAAGTTATCAACATTTCAGAGAGCTCTGGGTAGAAAGGGTTAAAAGTTCAAAACTTTCTCACCTTAGAGGTTTCCACGTGTCATGAAGAAAGTACAGAGTGAGGCTGCGGGAGCGGCCTCGTGTGCAGAGCGTTTAAAAAAGTGAGACATGGGCACTTGTACAATGTCTTACAAAAAACATCATCGAGAAATAACAAACAATAACAGTTTCAGGCAACAAGACCACAGGATAGCAAGTTAACAAACTTTATAACCTTTTTTTTGTTTGTTTTTTGTTTTTTAAATATTAGGGATTTATACAAAACACATAATAAAATACCCATGTTATCAAATTACTTCTCACAAGAAACACACTGGAGCGCTAGGAAGGAAGTACCTTTGGAGTTTGGCACTATAGATTTTCACTTTTTTCTTTAAAAGAAAAAAAAATCACATTTTGCTGAACACAAACACATCTAAATAGTTCACAATTTAAAAAAAAATGACATCAATGCTTTACAAGCCAACACAAAACTTATTCTGGAATAGGTGTTTTTTTTTTCCCCCTCACATGAAATTTATTTTTAAGCAAACAACTTTTTTTTAAATTCTTTTTTTTTTGTATTAAGAAAACCAATTCTAAACTTGTCTTATCAACAAAGAACATTAAGACCATAAGACTCATGATGAAACCACAACTGAATTCACAGAAGCACCAACGGAACAGTTTACAGTAACCCTTCTCCTGTACATTGAAACAGTATAAAATATAGGGAATTTCATGTGCGTCAAACCATGGATTGTCTAACTGTGAGTCAGTTCAGCAAAAGGTGACACAAATAGGTAGCATTTGCCCCAAAACAGGGTAAATATTTTTCTTATACTAATCTACAAAAAGTGGTTCTATATATATATCTTAATGAGAAAGTGAGCCACCTAAAATGGCCTTATCAAAAAACTTTACACTGCCTGAAAAATGTAAAAACTATTACAGACCTCTAGAGACTTAAAATCAGACAGTTTTTTTTCTCAAACTGTTTTGGAAGTAGTCTGTTAGAAACCAACATTCTGTGCCCCTGGGTGCATATTGCTGTTGTCACCAGTCGGGAAGAATGCCAATCCCTGTATAATACTTTCAAGTCTGTTTTATGAAAAGAAAAAAAAAAAAGAAGAAAGAAACATTTTTGCCACAGGTTTTTTTTCCTATAGTTAATTTGTCTAATAATAACTTTCAGTCTTGCATGAATGCAGCAATGTTTGTTTTTTTCACATTGACTTCCCAGAATTCAGAGCTAGATGAGGTCACATGCAAATCTCAAAGGTCAAACTAGATCAAAGGTCAGTAGGAGAACCGAGTATGATGTGAGGTCAGAAAGACATCAGAAACAATGACGGGACGATGAAACTGTTTGAGACGCCACAGGGACATGCTAGGCAAACGGTGAACTAACGGGCATGAAGATGTCTAGGGAGAAAACAAGGGAGAGTCGAGAGTTACACAGGAGCCGAGGGCAGCCACCATCACCCTCCGGGCGGCCAATGCAAACCCAGGGCCTGCCACCGCGGCCGTCCACGTCATTTGCATTCCTGACAGTCTTAACCACAGCACGGGGACCCCCGAATCCATCCGAGAGGGAGGGGGATGGATTCCAGGTGCTCTGGGCACGGGGTCGGGGCAGCAGAGGACAGGGGAGGGTCCAGTTCCAACGAGAGGTGACAAACGGGGAGGGTCAGACTGTAAACTAGGTCATGGACGTCAACGCACGGAGCATCAGACATACAAACAACGAGAGGGAGAGCATGAGCTGCAGGCCTAGGGTTCCACGGCGAAGAAAAAGCCCATTCCTAGAACGCTTCCTCCAGAGACTACTTCAAAAGAATCTCGCTAGCACAGAGAACTGCTCTTCAGGTTCCCAATAAGTTAACAATAGGCAATAAATAACTTCCATTATTTCTGAGGCAGTAAAAATTTTGTACAAAAATAGAAATGCTTTTTTTACAAATAAAATTTACAGGCCTGTGGCTTTCTTTTTTATGTATTATTTATGTAGTATTTATTTATTATTAAATTTATCTTTCAAGAAACATCAAGTATTTTCACTCATTTTATTTTATTTTAAACCCTGTAACTTTAAGAAACAGATCTCTAAATCTTTTTTTTTTACATTAATCCTTTCTAAAAACTAAAATAAAACTAACAAAATAGACAACCAGTGTAATAATCTGACCAATAAATGTCATGTTTCTTTGAACCCTAAAATAAAATCCTGCTTAATCAAAGGAACCGGATGTAGTGGAAAGACGTCTTGTCTCGTGTTAAGTGCTTCTCCTGGCTTCCCTGTCCCCCTAGGCCACCGCCGGTGCCGCCTCAGAGCCAGCCCCTCCTGGGGGTGGGCGCCCGCAGGAGGGGTGCCTTCTCCAGGCAGTGCCCTTGGCACAGCGCACATTTGCCTTTGTTTGCCTTTTAAATTCTCAAGATGGCATTTATTTGTGTTTTTTTCCTTAAAAAAAAAAAGCAAAATAAAAAAAAAAACCCAAACCCACAAAATCCAAAACCAAACTGAACAGAAAAAGGTCAAAGGAGATTCGATTTGCAAAACCAAGGAGAATACAGTGGCAGGACTGGAGGGGTGTCCTCAACAGAAACTGGGTAGCCCAAGTTTAATTATGGCGAACTGGGTGGGGTGGGGGTTGTGGAGGCCTTATTGTAAAAATAACCGTCTCTCGGTAAGTTGGCCATGCGGTCCTCCTCTGCCTCTCCTGTCGGGAACAGGCCGGCTCGCGGGACTTACCCTAAGAAAGCTAAAGTAAGAGCAGGGAGCCTCGGGGGTTAGGTCAGTAAGGTTTGCTGTCATTTTTGGAGCGCTTCAGCTGGACCTTCAAGCGTTTCATGCCGATCTGGAAGCCGTTCATTGCCTGGATGGCCGCTTGCGCAGACACTGGATTGTCGTAGCTGACGAAGCCTGGAAGACACACGGGGGAGGCGGCCGCGTCACCAGAGGCCAGCGCTGCCACAGGCGTGTGCTGGCCCCGCACACCCCACGGACCCCAGGCCTGCCCCGAAGCTGGGGTTCGAGTTGCACCCCTCAGTGGGCACACTCCAGGGTGGAGGTCCCCTCCCCCCGCCCAGGGGCTCTCGGGTCCCAGACTGCAGCCCCCAGGCCAGATCCCAGGTCTGCCGCTCCCCACCCCCACTTCCTGTCAGTGGCCCTTGAGCTCATGGGACTGGGGTCATGTAGTGAGTGGATGGTAGGGTAATTTAACCCTTGACGTGGTCCATTCTAGAGCTGGGATGGAGCAGCTGGGAGATGCCGAGACACCCTTTCTCCTCATCTCAACTTCCACATTTGAGGCCCAGTGAACTCAGCAGGCCAGAGTTTGTTGGCGTGTGTCCCTCGGACTCAACTGTGCTCAGGGTTGGCATCCATCCTGGCAGAGTTCCCGCTCTGTCTCAGTGCTCACCACCGACAGGCAGGGAGGGCAGGCTCTGCCATGTCCTGGCCACACGGTCAGTCACTGGGCGGTGGTGTGGATGCATGGGGCACACACGATTGGTGCTGATCCCCGGCCAGGCGTGGGCAGGCCCTACTCATCCTGGGTGTTGGACAGAAGTTGTTCCGCTGATTGTTTCACCCCTGAACGTCAGCTGTTCAGAAGGGCCTATGCTACATTGATCTTCTGTTAAAATTTAAAGCAAAGGAAAAATATCTTCACCATGGAGTGAAGGAAGAAAGGGACACAAACATCACCCTCAAGCAGAATTCTCAGCCAATAAAATGAGCTTTTTTGAAAAAGCTTTTCACGGGTAGGCAGTACCGCAAAAAACGGGGGTTTCCATTTGTTTAAGAAAGACAAAGATTCCTTATACTTGTGATCTTGGATCCTAGATTTTCACTCTCATTTTCTCCTTTCCTTCCAGGTTTTTATCCAAAAGCAGCAAGTTGATTAGAGTAGAAATGGGTCGATGGTGAACTGGAGAAAGGATGCCTGGTCCAGAGGGGACAGTGGGTGACCCGCTGAGGGAGAGACCTTGAGTAGCCGGATGCTGAGATGCCTGGACGGACGAACGGTCACTCTCTGAGGCAGTTGGTGCTCTCTCCTGGGCCAACCATGGCCACTTCCTCTCCAGCCTCCGGCTCAGGCCTGGCCACTGTCAGCCACGGGGACAGTGACCATCTGCCTTTCACGCCTGGCCTGGGGCAGCTCCCCGAAGTGACGCCCCATCCCGCTCCGTTCCATGGCGCTTGGGCCCTTCCCAGGGGCATTGACGGCTTCTCCCCTGGGGAACATGGTGCCACGCTGGTTCCCGAGGACAGACCAAAACTTGACTTCTGCCCCCCACCCCCACCTCTGCCACAGCCCCAGGAGAGCAGTGACAGGAGAGGGCCAGCAGAAGGCATTCTCAAAGCCAGAGCAACCTGCGCCCGAGTCCCACTGTACAATGGCAAGGCATCCAGGATGGACATGTTGGCACCTCTGGGTGCACCCGCACTCCTTTGGGCGTCTTCCTTCATACCGACCACGCTTCCGTTTGTCTTTTCTTGGGGCCAGGTAGAGTCAATGTGACTGTTAAGTGCTGGGCACCACCTCCTGCTGGCCTGGCCTTTGAGGTGTGACTGGGCCGGAGCCGGCCACGCCCATCACACAGACTCTGGCTTCTGAGCTGCTTTGGGGACCACCTGGGTCTGAAGACCAATGCCGGGGAGATGGCGTGTTCTGAGCACCATCTCGGAATCAGCCAGGTTGCACCGAACGTCCAGAGGAAGTGGGTGTGAGAATGGGGTCTTCTGAGAACGCCCGCAAGCAGCCCCACATGAGCCTCTCCAACGGCCTGAGTGTGGCTCCGGACCCTGCGGACCCCGCTCTCCCCGGTGCTGGAGAGAGCTGTGCAGGCATGCGGCTCAGAAGCTGCTGGTCACTCGACATGACAGATTCCCAGGTGCAGAAACCACTTGACAAGTGCGGTGTAGACAGCGTTGCCTCACGCATGGGGACTCTGTGTCTGTCCTGAGCCTGCCATTGGAGTCACCCCCTTCTTCTGGGTAATGTGACAGTCGACAAGGGGCCAGCCCACCCGGACACGCCACCCCACGGGAGCCCGTCTCGGCTTCCTTCCCATCCCTGCTCCCGTGGCCACCGGTGGGGCCTTAGCGCGGCGTCGGTTGCATACCAAAGCACTTGCTCAGATTGGTCTGTTTGTCAATGAAGACTTTAGCAGAGATGACATTTCCGAAAGGCATGAACATCTGCAGAATGTCCTGGTCTCCAAACTCCTGTGGGAGGTGGTAAATAAAGAGGTTTGCACCCTCTGGACCTAGAGAGGAAAAGAAAAACCAGAGTAAGGTATCCTTGGTTCCTCAGCTCCTCACACCTGCTCAGGTACTTTTCTGACAAGACCCTCTCTCTGGACGCCATGGGCGCAGCTGCCTGCCTGTCTCGTGTTCCTGGCTGGGAAGGACTCTTGGGAGGAGACTCGGGAAGGATGGCTTCCTTGTCCTCCCCCCCCCCCCCCCCCCCCGTCAGAGCTCACGGGGGATGTTTGTTGTGGTGACCTGGGGCAGCAGCAGGCTGGGGTCCCCCAGCACTTGGAGCAGATGGCAACCACTGGGAGTAACGGATACAGCAGGGACGCTGCTCATACTTTGCAGTCATGTACCTAATGACCCATCCAGGTGTCATTGGCCAAGTCCCTACTCACAGGCTGATAATCATGTTAGAAATGACTGGTGAGGCGGCCAGGCTGGGGGAAGGGGGGGGAGTAAGTTTCACACGTGTGGGGGCACCAGGCCCCTGCAGTAGCCCAAGAGGAGGTCGTGGAAGGGGGCAGGAGCCTGCGCGCCCCCTCCCTGTACCTGGCAGCCAAGCAGGCCCTACGGGGCACAGGGGAAGTGACCCTGAGGATGGGCTGCTGGGGTTGGGGACGCCCTGATGGGGTGGGACTCGTGGGTGCCCTGCCCACAGGTCCGAGGCAAAGGGAGGGAGGCACGGAGACAGAGGAGTCAGGCCAAGCTTCCTCCACGCGAAATCCTAAGAGGAAAAGTGGTTCTGGGGCATGGGACTCGCCCTGTGGGAGTCTGGAGTCAGTTCGCGTCTGAAGCGCCTCCAGAAATGGCCGGCCCAGTCCCCAGGGACGGGAATCTTGCGTGTGTGGGCACAGGATGGTCCAGTGTGCCCGTCCAAGAGTGGACGGAGGGGATAGGCTGTGCCCCGGGCCGTTCTATCAGGACCACCAGTGGCCCTGCCCGCCCATGGCCCATGACATGGAGCCTCTGCCCCAGCCTCCTGTTCCTGGAGCCCCTCGGGTCTCCGACACCAAGATGAGATGGTGCCTGCTGCCACAGGCACCAAGTGTGGCTGCACCCTTCCTACAGCCGTGTGTGTGTGTGTGTGTGGGGGGGGGGGGGGCGTGCTCAGGCCCTGCAGCCAAGTTACATCCCTGGCTGACACCCAGGTGTCTCCTTCCTCGTCCTTTAGTACAACCCTCCGGGACCCCTCGCCAGCTGTGGTCACGTGCGAGTGAGTGTCCCTTAGGCCACTGTCCCAGGGCACGAGGTCCTGCAGAAACCCAGGATGCCATGGGCTCTGCCTACCATGCATGGCACTTACCTGCTGCATGTTGAAGCCGGGCAGGTGGGGGTGGGGGAGTCGGGACACCCAGCTCAGTGGCTGCCCCTGGCCTGAGCGCTAGATGCCCTGAGGTGGGAGGAGAGCTGGCAAGTGGGGACTGTCTCCGCACAGCCAGGGGGCCTCACTTTCCTTCATACTGACCCTTTAAGGCCCGCTCTGGCTGCCGCCTTTCCGTCTGTCAGCCCTGTACACAGGACAGGAGAGCAGGCGGGAGTTCAGACTCGGCTTAGTGCTGGCCTGTGGCTCATTTCCTCTCCCTGTCTGACTCGCTCGACGCGGGGACGGTTTCCCTAGGAAGGGGCTTTGCATTTTTGGAGCACGTTCGTGGCAGGGTGAGTGGTGCGTGGTTAGTGGCTAGGACATCGGGCTGGGGACCCGCTGCCACCTTCTCAGTGCCACATGGCCTCTCTGGGTGCTCGAGGAGACCCTCCTTGCGAGCATCCCCCGTGTCTCTGCCTGGCACCGGGCAAGGTGGCCTTCGTGGCCACGATCTCTGAGGTGCAGGTTGGCCTTGCACGGCCACAGCGTAGTGGCTTCACGTTTGCGTCTACGCGCTTTCTAACCTCCACGCTCATACTTCAGGCTCAGAGGAAAGAGAAATCTAAATTCACAAAAAACTCAAGATTTTCATAAAGTCACATATTTTTTTTCTTTCTTTTTTGTGGTGGTGGGGTGGTTTGGAGCCACACCTGGTGGTGCTCAAGGTTTACTCTTGGCTCTGTGCCGAGGGGTCACTCCTAGTGGGTCTTGGGGGCCATTTGTGGTATCAGGGAGCGAACCCGGATCGGCTGCACGCCAGGCCAGCGCCCCACCTGCCATACATCTCTCTAGCCTCAGACATTTTTTTTTTGAGCAATTGATGAACAGAAAAGCCTTTCTTAGGGGGGGGGGTCATACATGAGTTAAAATTGTGCCCCCTTGAAAATTCACAAATTCACAAACTACGAACCATTAGTCCCTTAGAGACAAACAGCACGGCCAACAGGCAACATGGCTAGAAGCAGATTCTTAACTATGCAGGGAGGACAAGGCCAGGAAAGAAAGCAGAACTGGCTCAGTGGCAGAGCTGCCAACCCTGGCTTCTTTCCCGCGTGAAGCGAGGGGAGCAGCAGCATGTGGCAGAGGCTGGCCCGGAAGGCCAGCTGAGGGGTGGACACAGAGATGGTCACCTCCAGCGGCCCAAGATGCAGGCGGACCCAGAGCTGGGCTAGCCCATGTACTGTTCTCTCGGCGGATGGAGTCTGGCTGGCGTAGTTTCGGTCACACAGGTGGTTTACGAGACCATGTGTGGAACTGAGGATGGAACTAGGGCCAGCTACCCGCGGGGTAAATGTCTCACCCCTGACTTTCTCTCTCTGGCCCCTAATCTGTTTATGGCATGAACATCTAGAAATGACCAGCAGAGAAGCAAGGCAGAAGGCCACTTTGTTTCCCCAGAAGGCTGAATCTTCATCAGATAAAGATGGGACACGTAGTCATGCCTGGAAACTGTCTCCTGGGCAGGGTATCAGCATGCGCGCGCGCGCGCGTGTGTGTGTGTCTCTGTGTGTGAGTCTATGGTTGTGTGTATGTGTGTATCTGTGTCTGTGTGTTTGTGTGTGTCTCTGTGTTTGTTTCTGTGTCTGTGTGTGAATGTGTGTGTGTGTGTGTGTGTCTGTGTTTGTGCGTGTGTGTGTCCCTGGCGGGAGGGGACCGGTAGGTGTGCAGGAGATTGGTGGGGGGTGGAGGGGCAGCCAATGGGAGCGTCTGAGCGTGTGGCTGGACGGGGCACAGGGCGGGGCTGGTGTGGGCCACCCATTTCCTTTCGGAGGCCCGGCTCGTGGGGATGAAGCGGTGTCCGCCCGACTCCTGGTCAGCTGTGTGGTCCTCGCTGCGGGCGGCCAGGCACCTACCTTCCTTCTGGCTGCCCGCCGCACTCTGCTGCTGCAGCAGGCTCTGGCTGTACAGAGTGGGCAGTGCGGCTGCCGCGTACTGCTGGATCCCTGAGTAGGCCTGGGTGAGGGCGTCCATCGTGCCCGCCGTGCCATTCGCCAAGCCTGTGGCGCCGAGTCCTCCGTTCAGAGCCGCCATACCTGAGAGCATTTGAGCAACTTTACAAAAAACCCAACAATAGAGAAGAGAAACAGCACTTTTCATTAGTGCTTTCCAAAGGAAGTCAGAGATCATTTTGACACAAGGACAACAGCAAGTGGCATGCACCCGCACAGCAATGCCCCCCCCCCCCCCGCCATGAGATGCAGACAGGAAGCACCAGCCACAGTCAGTGGCTCCCGCCCCCACCCCCCACCCATAGCGGGGAGTCAAGGCGGCACCCAAGGCCCATGCACGGTGCTACTGGCAAGTCCCACTGCCCTCGGGGAACAGAAGCCAGCTGCTTCTCGGTGCCCAGACGTGCGGCTGGCCACATCTGCACACATGCATTGTGGACGGGCTCTTTTGGGGGCTGCTTGAGAGGGACAGGGTGAAAGAAGACTCAGTCCCTGACTCCCGACCGTTGCACAGGGAGGCTCTGCACTCCTTCGCGGATTGGGCCAAAGTGCTCAGGAGCAGGACGGCTGATGGGGTAGCAGGGCCAGGAACGTGCGGGGCCGCTTCCCCGGGATGCAGAGACCCGCAGCTGCTTCCATGGTGGTGTGGGCTGACGGCAGCAGAGCTCTCCTCTTCCGGTCTCCCCTCAGCCCTGGCCATGCTCTGCCTCCATGACACTTTGCTCCCGTTGCCCCCGAATCCGAATCAGATCGAGCACCGAGCTCTGAGTAGGACCTTCCAGATGAGCCCGGAAAACGGCAGCGCTGACGCCCTCACTGGCTCCTGTCCCCTCCCTGATGCCGACACTCAGATCTGCCGCTTGGAAGAACGCGGTGAAGACACCGAGGGCCATCGGCAGGGTCAGGGATGACGCCCGGAGCCGGCAGATGCTCGTCTGTGGAAGATCGATGCTGGGGCGCCCATGTGCGTCTGTGCTGCCCCCAGCCCCACCACTCTGCCCACGCTCCTGCTCTCAGGGACAGCCAGGCCGGAGGCACAGAGCAGACGTTCTTCTGAGGGGAGGGATGACAGCTGAGCTCTGCCTTTAGGGTCCCCAGGGGACGGCCCGGGCCAGGGTGCCCTCTGTCCACAGCTGCTGCATGCAGAGCCCAATGGCAGGATGGCAGAGCGGGCGTGAGCTGCCCGGGACCCACCTCTGCCCCCTGCTCATCTGTTCGGTGGCGGGCACCTCCTCTCCTTGTGATGAACCAGGGGGTCAGGCCCTTCCTTGTTGTGGGTGTCGGTCTCCCCCACTTTGTCTGCATTCGTGTATGGGCGGGGGTGAGTGTGAGGTGCAGAGCTGCCAGGCACCTCTGCTCCTTCCCCGCCGGGCATGGGGACCCAGTCCTGCACCCAGCTCTCAGATGGGGGCGCTAGACTGAGCTGCGGGCTGTGCAGGTGGGACCGCCAGCCCTTCGGGTGCTGGATGGGACAGGGCCGTGTCACCTCTCCACACCTGTGCCTTTGGTGGTGTGAGACATGGCAGCGTGGCACTTCTCATTCGCGTCTGCTCTGGAGGGCCTGTGGGTGTCTCAGGATTGGCCCCTCCTGAAGTCCCACAAGCCCTAACCTGGCCTCCCCCTGCTCACTATGCCAGCCCCACCGGCACGCCCCACACCTGGCCAGCTGCCTTCCACAGAGTTCTGCTCCTGTGGCCCTCGTGTGCAGGGCGTGGCACTCTCTTTCCCTGTGACAGACACAGGTAGGCCAGAAGCCCAGAGAGGCTGAGGTGGGCCTGAGCCCCAGCCAGCTCTGCTCCTGGGCAGAAAGTCCACGCAGAGAGGATTAAAATCCCAAAGTGTGTTAGAGGTCCTGAGGTTGTCAGCACGCCCATGGCAGAGCAGGTGATTATCTGGGAGGACGGGACCCGTCAACTTGACTTTCACCCCTTGTGAGTTCTTCCTGTGTGAGATGATGTTCTGTACTGAGTAACCGGTCACATGGCAGCAGACACAACAGCCAGATGACATCCGGGCCGTGGGGCAGCAGAAACGGCTGGTCTAGAGGCAACCGGGTTGGAAGGTCGCTCCCCTCAGGAGGACGGGGCGTCTCGTGTCAAGGCCAGCTGGCCCAACTCCCACGCAGGCTGCTTGGCAGAGGACGGCTGGACGGTGCTGATGCCTTGGCAACTCCGCGAGGGAAGGGCCTTGCAAAATGCTGATGGGGAAGGCTGGGGGTGCCGCAGGTTCCTCCCAGGCAGACCCCCCGCCAGGAAAATGACAGACACTCCGCTGCAAACGTGGACGTGGCTCATGGCCTCTGGGGGGAGGTTGGGCTGTCCACAGCATTATTACAAGAACGAAAGGGAAGAGGAGAACGTCGTGACCCTGCTGGGTGGGGTTCCAGGGCGGAAGCGAGCCCATCCTCGGCTGCCAGGTGAGACCAAGGGGTGAGGAACAGGCCAGAACTCTCGCAGGCAACGTGCAAGGGCCGATGCGCCTGGTTGGTGCCTGGGACCATGCTTGTTGGGCCACAGTGACGTGAAACTGTGGGTGTTCCTGCATGTGCTTGGTGTCACCCTCACTTGCTCCTCCTCGAGGGCCTTTAGAAAAGGGACTTTTCCAGGCACAGAGACTGGATGCCAAGGTTCTCTGCCCAGGCTGCTGCTCGCCACGTTTTTCCTCAGCTACGTCCTGTTTGTGTCCACTCCCAAGTGTCCTGAGGGGCGCTCCCATCTGGGGGACATGGGACCCACCTTCCTCCCCCGACTCGGGAGTAGACTGAGGAAAGAAAAGGTCTCACAGACCCTCGACCGTCTTGTCACATTGTCTCAGTCACGATCTTACAGGGGCCAGGGAGGAAGAGGGTGGTTGCCAGGCTGAGTTTGGGGGTTAACTGGAACCCACCCATCGGCTTGCTTCTGGCTCCACACCCCACTGTGGGGGCGGGTGGGGTCATTCTCCTGTGGGGTCAAGTTGCGGCTCTGCCGGTTGCTCACTGCCCGCTCGGGTTTCTCTTGGTTTGTGAGATGAGTAGCACGCATCGGGGCCACGTACGTGTAGCCGGCGGTGACTGTCACCACATCCGAGGGAGCACGTTTGGTTTGTGCATGACTTTCCAGTGAGATACTTTCCTGACTCGGGCCAGGTGTGGCTACTTGAACTCCAACACTCTCTGAACCTTCTGCAAACTAGACATGCCTCTGCTCACCTGGGGCAAAGCCTTGGGGTGGGTTGGTGGGTGGGGTGGGGGGGGGGGGAAGCCTGTCACCCTTGCCAGGATCCACACCGCCCCACACACAACCCCTGGGAACAGGCTGTGGCGTCTACGCCGCTCCAGCCCCTCAGGATGGTAACGGGCAAGTCCCAGCAGAGTGCAGCAGACGAGGGGGGAGACGCAGACACACAGCTGACGGAGGGACGGACGGACAGACGGATAACACGCAGCAGTCCTGAGTGTGTGCTGAGGAGGACAGCATTCCCACGGGCCCCGGCTCTGAGACAACGTCAGGCCGGCGAGCGGATCAGTCCTGGTTTGCGGAAGGACTAGGTGCTGGGCGAGGAAAGCGGCCTCAAGGCCTGGGTGTGAGGCTGGGCCAGTGTGGAGGGGGGCCTGCTTCTGAGCTCTCGGGGCAGCCTTGGGGTGTCTGCTCTTCAGGGGAGAGGTGCCCCGACCGCTCACCCGTTTCCTGGACTGCTTAAAGCTTCAGAGGCGGGCAAGGGGCAGGCAGAGCCCCCAGTCTCACCCCGACCATGGGCAAGCAAAGCAGGGGAACCCCCAAGCACACACCAAGTGACTGGCTGCCTGACCCCGACAGCAAGAGCAGCTAAGCTCCTGAGGTCCCTGTGCCTGAGGACGACATGTGTCCCTGGGCCAGCTGCCCTGCTTGGCTCCGGAATGGCCGTCCCTGGGGGGTCAGAGCCTCCCTTACGCTTGCCCATCCAGGCGTGTGCTGTCTAGGCCTACCTCTGCCAGTGTCCCTTGGGGCTCCCAGCTGACTGTGTGAGGGGAAGCCTGTTCTCGGGGGTCCCAGCTGTGTGTGTGTGTGTGTGTGTGTGTGTGTGTGTGTTCCTTGGGGCTCCTGGCAGAGAGAAAGAGAAGGAGGGAGGGAGGAGGGAGGGAGGGAGGGAGGGAGGGAGAGAGAGAGAGAGAGAGACTATTCCTCTATTCCTCAGGGGTCCTCCTTGGGGCTCCCAGCTGACTGCGTGTGTGTGTGAGTGTGTGTGTGTGTGTGTGTGTGTGTGTGTGAGTGTGTGTGTGTGTGTGGAAGGCTGTCCTCCAGAGCAGCAAATACTCACTGTGGATGGTACCTGCTAGCGCGTTAATATTGTTCAGCCCGACCGTGGCGCCCGCCAGACCCTGCAGGGTCCCGAGGGAGGTCAGAGAGTTCATGGCCGCACCAGCTGTGGAGTTGGGGGTCGATGCTGCCACTGGAAAACAGATGAGGGGAGGCGCGTGAGGGCGGAGTGCTGTGTGTGGTGGCCGGGGAGCAGCCTCTGGACCCCGACCCCGACCCCCAGGCCTCTGAGCCGCCTCCTTGGCCAGGCTGGAAAATTCCAGACCCAAAGGAGGCCGGGATGGGACAGCGAGATGGCCACGTGGCTTCCGTATGGTGTCTTCTCCACACCAGACGTTCCCCAGTGGGCAAACACCCCCTCCAGGGTATTGCCAGGACCCCGGTGGGGTGGAAGTGGGTGGGAGGGAAGCGTGTGGGTGCCAAGTCTCCCGTCCTTTTGGCGCACCCGCTGCTCCTGTGGCCTCCCTGGGCACATGTGCCCTCAGGTCCTGGGGGCACCCAAGCACCACATCATATTATGCTTTTAACATATTTTCCATTTTTACAGCAAAGTAGGGTGGGATGGTGCAGACAGGGCTCACAGAGATACTTGCAGTCAGGCCATGGCGGCCCTGTGGCGGCAGGTGGTATCTGTAACTGAGTGGAGGTGACGCCAGATCAGCATCGGGGGGAAAAGAATTAGGAATCCAGCTTGGAGCTGGGCTGCTGCCGCCCAGGAGCGAGATGGACACAGCTGCGCCTGCCTGCCCACCAGCAGACTTGGGCGGCTTCCTTCTTGCTTCTTCCTCGGCTGGGACCCCAGGACTCCGTGTGGCTCAGGCCCCAGCCCCCTAGGGTACGCCTAGCCAGGCTGGTGCTCTCCTGTACCCGAGGGAATTCTTCAGGCTCTAAGAAAGCACCCCCCCTGCACCCCCTCCCCCCCGAACCCACACAGGTAACTGTGTGGCTCCTGTAAAAGACAGTTGATGCATTCCCTACATCCCTTAGCTGGCCTACAAACCAGCAGCCTAGAGACCGCTGGAACAAAGCAGGGGGGCTGCCCAACTCCCGCTCAAACGAAGCCCCAGCAGCTGTGCCTCCTGCTGGACTGCCCAGTCGATGGCCCAACCAAGTATTACGGATTTTCTGGAGCACCATCTCCCCAACGCTGACAGCCAGCGGGAGCACGCCAGATCCCATGGGATGTAATGGAGTAGCCAACAAATCTCAGCCAACAAGAACACCAACGCAGAAGCCTGGCCTGTAGCAGCACCTCAGCAAACCCTCAGACAAGGACTTCCTGTCCCTGGAGAGACACGCCAACCCTCACCAATCTTCTCTACGGAAACAGTTTTTGATTGTCCCATTAGCTACTTAGTAGTGACAAACAATATCAGATAGATTCTTGTGGGCCTGCTATGGAGACAGGCTGGGGGGGTGCGTGGCTGGGAAAATGGGGACAGTGGTGGAAGGAAGGAGACGGGGGTGGTGGGATTGCGGTTGGAATACTGAATGACTGGAACAAATCATCACGAACAATTTGTATACCACAGTGTTAAAGTGGGGGGTGAAAAATAAGCCACCCACCCCCCCTGGATTCAGCTGTATGGAGGGCCTACAGAGAAGGGGTAGATTTGGGGCAGGGAGTGTGCCTGGCATGCGGCTAGCCTGGTTCCAGCCCCAGCACCCTCACCCCCAGGGCTCCTGGTGTGGGCCTCGTGGCCCCAGTGTGGCCTGGCCTATCCAAGCACTGAACCCTCCGGCCTGCTGGACAAGCATCACTGGGAGTGGCCCCAGGCCCCTGGAACACAACTGGGGAGACCCCAAAAGATGGTGTTGAATTCTTACAAATAATCGACATAAAGGCCAGTCTCAGCCCAGAGCTTCAAAGTGGAGGAGAGAGAGAAAGAATCCAATGCCACCAATTGTGTACTCACACACTGTGGTCTCCCAGCACACAGGGCACTGAGGGTCTCTGCCTTCCTAGCCCTCCAATCCGCCCAGTCCCCATCATCATTCTCAAGCTGTTCACCAAAGGGCCCTCTCTGGGGCAGGAGGGGTCTCCGTGGCGGGAGGCCCCTAGTGCAGAGGCGGGCGGGTGCCGCCTGCACAGTCTCTGCTATTTCCCGCTGGGGGTGGCCATGGGTCTCAATGATGCTTCACTGACAGGTGAACTCATTCAAGTTGGCAGCTCCTGCTCTACGGGGGTCCCTGAGCAGCATGGCTGGCCTCTGAAGTGGATGGCATGAGCGTTGAGACGTGCCAGAAAGGTGTGTGTATGTGTGGTGGGGGGGAACCTTGGCACAGGATTCAGTCATGGACAAGCCTCCAAGGAGTCTGGCTTCCTCTCCTGGCTGAGATGCTCCCATGGGATTCCCCCCCACCCCAATACCTCCCATGTTCTTCCAGAACCTTCTAGCACTGCGGGCCCAGGGCCCTTAGCAGGGCGGGGGCCCTCAGCCCAGTGGATGAGGCCCTCACGGAAGGTGGCGCATCTGAAGGATGAGCTGTAGATGCTTCCTTGCATGGTCCTGCTCCTTCTAAGCACACAACTGGGGAGAACTCTGAGGGAATATTCTAGAAGGTAGGTGGTGCAGGGAGCCCATGAAGGTGATCGGACTGCCTTGACCCCTGCCTCTGCATGCCTACGGCACCCTTCCTCTCCCCAGGAGCCCGCTCGCTTGCCGACGCCCCCCAGCCTTTGAGAGTGCGGCCTCAGGCTCCACGGAGCATGGTGCCAAGAGCAGAGGGACCAGGCTGCCCGCTCATGAGTGCGACCTTCCCTACCCAGAACCCCAGCCAGCCCTGGGCTCTGCAGAGGCTCGTGGTCACAGGCTGAAAAACAAACAAAAAACTCACACACAAAAAAACAAAAACCCTGGCGATTTCTCAAGAGTGAGGACATCGGAGTGGAAAGTTCCCCGAGCAGAGGCACCCCTGCTTCTTAAGATCTGGTGGTGGGGTAGAGCCCCCAGCACCCTGTGCTATGGCCGCCGTGTCCAGTTTATAGCTGCTCGGGGGCCTAAATGTTTCTTGGAAATACTTCTACGCCCAGAGCCAAGGGCCTCCACACAAAAACTCCTGGGCCTCAGGGCAAGGCACGGTGGTTTTCCACCCTGGCAGACCCGTGGACACGGGGAGTGCCCGGTGAGGCCCTGGTGCCCTGGGTCATGACCTGGGGTGGCAGCACCCCGAGTGGCTGTGTGGGCCACAGCTCTAAGCTGACCTCATGTTGCAGAGGGGTTGGTGGCAGGGGGGCCGCATGGTGCAGTGGTGGCACTTGGTCACTAGCACGTGGCATTCCAGGGCTGGAGGGTCCTTCACGCCAACCGCGCGGAAGGAGAGCTTGTATCTGAAAGCGATTCGGCAGTGACACCTGAACAGGCCATCCCAGAAGCCACCCACCCTCCTGAGAACCCTCATGGGCCCGAGAATCGGCCTTGTCTCTAAGGGGAAAGTGATTCCCATGTGGACGTCCAGGGTAAGGGCCGGCACTAGTGTCTGCAAGACCCTGAGGATCAGGGTGATCAGTGCAGAAAGTCCCCGAGGGCTCTGTCCTCCACACACGACTCCCCTTTGCCTCGGAACCCGGGAGATGCCCCCAGAGCAGCTCAGAGCCAAGTCCTGCCCTCTCTGCTACCCCCATCCACCCCACCTGCTCCCAATGGGAATCTGCTCTGTCACTGCATCAATCCAATGATGGCAGCAGTGGGAGAAAGAAGCTCCCTTCCCCACCCCCACTCACTCACAGCATCCTATGGGAGCAGACAAGAGGATGCTGGCAGAAGGGCCTTAAAGGCAGAAGTTTTGTTTCTACGTCAGGGCTAAACAAATGATCTACTGTCATACTTTAGTAAAGTCATGCTTTTAATAGTTTTATTTTTAAATTAAAAAATTTTTTTTGGGGGGGCACACCAGGTGATGCTCAGGGGCTACTTCTAACACGATGCTCTGGGGACTGTGTGGGACCCAGTGGAGACCAGGGCTTGGGCTGTGGTCTGCACATCTCCACCATCCCCCGGACCCTTCATGCTGCTTATGGAAACAGCCTTTTTTGGGGTGCTGGGCTGCAACCCAGGACTCCCCTGTGCAGGCGGGTGCTCTGTGCCAGGGAGGGCTTTTTACTTATTTTATTATTTTTTTTTAGGCTGGAGCGATAGCACAGCGGGTAGGGCGTTCGCCTTACAAGCGGCCAACATGGCCGACCCGAGTTCGATTCCTCCACCCCTCTCGGAGAGCCCGGCAAGCTACTGAGAGTATTTGATATGCCAGACACAGTAACAACAAAGTCTCCAATGGAGATGTTACTGGGCCCGCTCGAGCAAATCGACGATCAACGGGAGGGCCTTTACCTTTACCTTACCTATTATTTTTTTTTAATTGAATCATCGTGGGATGCAGAGTTACAAGGCTGTTCATGATCAGGTTTCAGTCACATAGTGTCCCAACACCTGTCTTTTCACCAGTGCACATTTCCCATCACCAATGTGCCCAGTTTCCCTCCTGCCACCCCCCCCCGACTGTCTTTATAGCAGACACTTTTCTTCTCTCTCTCTTTCTCTCTCCCCCCCATCCCCCATCTCTCTCCCTCTCATTTTGGGCACTATGGTTTGCATACAGATACTGAGAGGTTATCATGCTCCCTCACCCACTTTCAGCACGCAGTTCCTATCCAGAGTGATCATTTCCAACTACCTCTGTCATGGGGGTCCCTTCTCTATCCCAGCTCTCCTCTCCCCAGCACCTGAGGCAGGCTTCTGGCCAGGGACCAGCCCTCCTGGCCCTCGTTCTTACTGTTAGGGAGGACTGTTTTAATACACCAGGAATATTAGGGTGTCAGTGACACCAGGACAGACGCTTTTCGTCACCTTCCGTGTTAACTGAGGTGTTTCATTTCTGCTAACCAAAGGCCCAAGGACATGGCGGATACTTGGTAAATATTTGTCGAAGGAATGAAAAAGCGTCCAAGGGAATTAGAGTCACTCCAGTGACAATTTACAGAACACTCGCTGCGTCTGGCTCCTTTAGCACTGATAACAGCGGACACTGCAGCGTGGGCTCAGGGTGGACACACGGCAGAAATGCACATGGAGGAGCAGAGAACTGACGTCGGCCGCGGCAGCAAGGGTGCACCAGGCCGCCTGATGGCCCCAAATACCATATTCCACTGCACACTCGTTGCAGATTTGGTACCAATTATTTTTTGCAAAAAAGAAGTGGGGGAGGGGCTAGAGCAATAGCTCTGTGGGGAGGGCGTTTGCCTTTCACAATAACCGACCTGGGTTCTCTCCCCGGTATCCCATATGGTCCCCCGAGTATTGCCAGGAGCGATTCCTGAGTGCAGAGCCAGGAGGAACCCCTGAGCATTGCCAGCTGTGACCCTAAAAGTAAAAAAATGTGGGGTGGGACTACTGTTATGTGCTTTTTAAAAACTCATGCTGGTTTGGGTTCAAGAGGGAGAGGCGGAATGCCCGGAACACGGGCTGAGCTGTGACGTGTGGCCGTCGGGCAGCTCACAGGGGCTCAGAGTGACCCTGGGGGTGGTTCTTTCTGGGGACGAACAGAAGGTGGGTGTGAGGGCCCCAAGTGGGCCAGGGAGCTGCCAGGGCTGTGGGCTGTCTGCTGGGTCAGGAGCATGGTGGGGCTTGGGGAGGGGGAGGGGCCCCCCACTGCAGAGAAGCCCTGGGCAGGCTGAGAGGGAGCCACAGGGAGCTTCTGGCCCAGCCCCGACAGAGGCTGCACACATGGCCACGGCCAAGGATAGGGCTGGGTGGGGGTGCATAGCTGGGGAGGGGCCCCCAGGAGGTTCTGGGCACCCCCATCTCCAGGGGGTGGTCTACCTCCTCGGAGACTCAGTGTCCCGCCATGAGACCGGGCTATGGGTCACAAAGTCCTCAGATCCAGGTGACACTTCTCACACCAATGGGGGACCGGCCAGCAGCACCGTGTGGCGCCCAAGAGATGGGCAGTGGGTCACTCTGCAGCATCCAACAAGCCCAAGGCCTGGTCTCACCTCAGGCTCCTCCCCAGGTGGAGGTCACGGAAGATGGAGTGAGGGCAGAAGGCTTCTGAATGTGACTGACCAGATGCCCCAGGAGGCGCTTGGCCCAAGAAATTCTTGGGCGCTGAAGGGCGGAGAGTGGGCCAGTGGGGGAAGGCCTGGCTGGAAGAGACATTGTCTGTCTCTCTCGCACACCACAGCCAAGGCACCCGAGCCTTGGGGGTGGTAAGAGGGGGGCTTAGACACCTATCTATTTCCAGGTGGTGCTTTGCTCCCCAAATTTACATCTACCTTCCAGCAGTGGTTGAGTCAACAGAACCACAGGAAACACCTCAGGGGCTGGAGCAGCAAGCACCGCAGGGAGGGCGTTGTTGGGTTCCATCCCCGGCATCCATGTGTCCCCTGAGCACTGCCAGGAGTCACTCCCGAGTGCAGAGCCAGGAGGAACCCCTGAGCATTGCCGGGTGTGTCCCCAAACAATCAAACAAGCTAAAACCAAAAAGCACATGACAGGCTCCGGGGAAGTGGCTACAACAGCTCACAGGCAGTTTCCCGGGCTCAGGACCGAAATGGCTCCAGGCCTCTTAAGCAGGTTCGAAACTGGGTGAGGAGAAATGACCCAAGAATTAATGAACTAAACAGGAGTCTGAAGTAAACAAAGGGAAAATTATCATTTCAAAACAAAAGACAAGAAACACAATTAAATTAGGCTTCAAAAGACCCAGGAGAAAAGCCATAAAAGGCATAATATGCATTTACCTGGTTCTTTATTCTTTCATGATTTAATTTCTAATTTTATTCACTACCATCCGATAATTGCACGAAACACTTATTCTAACCATGGGCAATTTAAACTATTTTAATTTTTATTTCAAGGCCACGAGACAAAGGGCCCTATTTATTACCTGAGGGGATTTTTTTTAAACAAAAATTAAAGCTTAATCTTTCATGTTTTAAAGCATAGGCGGTTAAAAACCATTTATGATAAGGCTGTTGGGGAGCTGGCTGCCGGGGAGGTGGCACTGAAACGGTTTGGGGGGTGGAGCGGGTGCCCGCTCCTTTCTGGATGGACCTAGCAGGAGGACCCAACTACTGATGGGCTGACCTCTCACCCCACAGCCGAGCCTGAGGGACTCAGATGGACGCAGACACCAACATCATCACAGTCAAGAACAAATCCTGGTGTTGTCCCCACCACTGCCTCAGGAGTGATGTCAAATCTCACCATTGTTTACAAGGACAGGGAAGTGACTGTCCTGAGGCCCCGGGCGGAGCTAGCCATTGAGGCTGCTGGCCACCAGGTCCATCTTTGTGTTGTCTCCTGAGGTGGCCTGGATGCCCCGTCAAGGTCAGCACCCGCTGGAGGCCCCAGGGACACCACTTGGGCAGGTGAGCGACAGGCCAGGCAGGAGGGTCTGGGAGCCCCTGTCGCGCCCCTGGCTTATGTCTGTTCCTACACTGACCATCCGCAAGGGACAAGGCACCTGGTAGAACAGCAGCAAAGGTCCAGAGAGGAACCACGCTGCCCAGGGACCGAGGGTCCAGCTGGGACAGCGTCCCTTACACCTGGGAAAGGCCTGGACAGGCCATCCCCATGGGTCACCGCAGAAACCCGTGCCAAGTCTGAGGGATTGGGAGGTCTGACAGGCGAGCCCTTGGCCGTCTCCTCTGCCCACAGCTGGCCCTGTGGGGTGTCTCACCTGGGATCCACAACAGCTGACCTTCACTCAGATAAAGTCAACACTGCTTCCTCCCCAACCAAGAGCCTTTCCTCTTCCCATCCTGGCAGACAAAGGAATGCGCCCCTTCCTCCCTGAGCGAAACAGAGTGAAAAAACGCAGGTCCAATCCGTGGTACAGCTCTAGTGTAATTCTGTCTCAGCCCTCACGGGGGAGACGGAAGTTCTCACTAAAGGAAGTATTTTCCATGCCAACTTTAAACACGACCGCGAGAGGGGGCCAAGCTGCAGCCTGCCTGAGGTGAGCATCATTTTCACTAAGGGGGCGTTGGGGCCAGCGAAGGGCCCTGAGGTGTGGGCCAGTACTCACGGGATGAGACCCTCAAAAAACACTTCTGCAGATGTTCTGAGAATTGAGTGGACGTGCTGGAGGGCAGTGGCCACTGAGTGGCCCAATCTGCAGGCTCTCGTGGCCCTCAACCAGATTATGCTCTGAGAGACAAACTCAGGAACGGGCCTCCAGAGCACAGCCTGGGCCGGAGGGGACCCCTGCCGCACCCCCGTGCCTTTAGCCCAGGATTTGGGTGCAGCCGAGAGGCCGTGGGCTGTGCAAGTCAGAGTGGGCTGGGAGATAGTCCAGAGGCACAGGCTGGGGAGGGAGGGGCCGCTCACATGCAGGTCTTGGGAATTCAGGGATGAAAAGCCAGGAAAACATCCACAGCAACAATCCTGTCTCCAGGCAACTGCATCTGGTTGGCTCTCGGAAAGGAAAGCGGCATTCACTGCTGAATAAGGCCACGCGCTGAGAGGGAAAGGCCTGCAACCCTGAGCGGGACCAGCCACGCGCCCTCTCCTTTTGACCAGGACCAGACACGTGCCCTCTTCTCCTGACTGGGGACCAGCCACACGCCCTCCTCCTGACCGGGGATGGCCACGTGCCCTCTGCTCCTGACCGGGACCAGCCACGCGCCCTCTCCTCCTGACCAGGACCAGCCACGCGCCCTCTCCTCCTGACCAGGACCAGACACGTGCCCTCTTCTCCTGACTGGGGACCAGCCACACGCCCTCCTCCTGACCGGGGATGGCCACATGCCTTCTGCTCCTGACTGGGACCAGCCACGCGCCCTCTCCTCCTGACCAGGACCAGCCACGCGCCCTCTCCTCCTGACCAGGACCAGCCACGCGCCCTCTCCTCCTGACCAGGACCAGCCACGCGCCCTCTCCTCCTGACCAGGACCAGCCACGCGCCCTCTCCTCCTGACCAGGACCAGCCACGCGCCTTCTCCTCCTGTCCGGGACCAGCCATGCACCTTCTTCTCCTGACCGGGACCAGCCACGTGCTCTCTCCTCCTAACCGGGGACCAGCACACATCCTCTCCTCCTGACTGTGGGTTCAGCCCGAGCCAGGGAGGGGAGCCTGTGAGCAAGCTGACAGGGGCTGTGAGACTTACCTGAACAGTCTTAAATGGCTCCAAAAGACGCAGGGGAAGGAAGGGAGATGTCTCCCCAGAGATGCCCTGTGGGGCAGGCAGACTGCAGGAGCCCCATTCCCGCCCCTCGGAGGAGCAGTGCTCCCTCTGGCAGGGAGCACAGACACACATTTGGGTGCTCCCATGGTGGGGGGAAGCGCGGTGCCCCCTTACCCGGACTGGTGAGGGCCCCCAGGGCGCTGCTCGTGGTGGACAGGGGGTTGGCGTTGGTAGTGGTAGCTGAGCTCTGGGCCGCGGCTGCGGCTGCCGCCAGTGTGGCCAGGTTCTGGAGCTGCAGCGCGTTCATACCTGTGGAAGGAGGGGGGGCAGGGCATGAGGGCGCGCCCTGGGGCTGCCCTCGGGAGGAGGGGCCGTGCCAGGCTGGTCCTGAGCCCCAGCGCACGCACTCGGATCCCAGGGGCTCTGGCTCTGCATGCCCCGTGGGGCCATGGGTGCTTCCGAGCCACGCACCCACCTCCTGCAGCACACCTCACGGTCACTCAGAGACAAGCAAGGCGGCCAGCTACAGTGCCCAGCCTTATGAGGGGACCCCCCAACATAGGGCATGGTCTGACGGACCCTGAAAACGTCCTTCTGGGCCCTGTTGTTTGGTCCAGAGCTCAAAGGCTGGATTGGGGCTGGAGTGGGCCGGTGGCACACACCGTCCCCGGTGCCTGCCCTGTTCCTGCCCTCCCAGGTACCCACCTGCCCGGTGCCCACTGCAGGACTGCATGCCAATCAGGCCTGCCACAAACTGACAGATGGGTATTAGAGCCTTTGCAAGGCCCAGGACACATCTGCAGGGGGCTCGGGAGGACTAAGGTCTGGCAGGGAGAGTCCCCCTGCTCACATCTCAGCTCAAGGGGCAGAGTCCCAGACTGCCTGAGCTCTGTAGGCTCCGCCCATTTTCCCCAAGAGCCCCCAAACCCCAGCTCTCTCCAGAGGAGGGCAGACTGCCTACTGACCCCTCGCACCCAGGGCCAAGGCCCAGGGCCTGGAGGTGCCCCGGGCTGTACACAAGTTTCCTGACAGTCGCAGGGGCACCGAAGTAGAGACAGCCAGGGCGTGAGTGGGAGGAATCAGGGAGATGGGGATCAGTTTCCCCACCTCACCCAGGGCCAGCAAAGCCCTTCTCCAAAGGAGGGAGGTGGGCCCTGCTCTGATGCGCAGGAGGTCTGCTGTGAAGTTATGATTTTAGAAAAATTATTTATAAGGAGAAGGGCATGAAAATTTAATTTAATGTTCACCTTAGGTAATTTTGTGTCTTATTGTTCATAGCAATTACCATAAATCTGCATATCAATAAGCGAGAACAGATGTCAGTTCTTACGGGCACTTGCCAATCAGGTCTGCTGGAAGTGACAGATGGGCGGTGAGACAACTCTCCTCACAGGCCTATTAACGCATCCTGGGACACTCCAGAAGACTCGTGGGGGCGGCAGGGGGGGGTGTCCCCCTGTTCACTTCACGGCTCAGGGCGGGCAGTTTTGGCCTTTCCTCCTAGCTTTGCCCTGGGCACATCCTGCTTGGGACGGTCTCCATGCCGTGTCCACGCGACTCAGCACCGGGAGTCGGTCTCTGTCTTCTGCTGGCTTCTGTCCTCTGCCACCAGAGACCTAGTGGGGTCCCTGCCAGGTGCAGGAGTAACCACAGCAGCTCCCCAGGCGGGGACCAGAGGCCAAAGGCACTGTGGCTCGGAGGGTCCGTTCCCGCACCCAGCCAGGCAGCGTAGCCAGACGGAGGTGGGGCAGCTCGAATGTGCGGGTTCTCAGCTCCTTCCTGAAGGGTCCTGGGCTCTCTTTGCATGTGCAGAGGCCTCCTGGTGAGTGTGCCCGGATAGCCCAGCCCTGCCATGTGGGCAGCCTGCTGGGTACTGGGGGTCAGTACCCTCCTCCTGCGTCCCCAGCTCATCTCTGGGTCCAGGTCTCCCCCAGGAGGTCTAGGCCTTTCCTTGTTCCATTTTCCTGGCCACATGTGACCTGCATGAGCTGTGCCATGATTTTTGGGTGTTCTCTTCTGATGTGGAACTGCAAAATTCGCTGCTCCCAATTCCCCCTTCTTCAGGGGGAAAATCCACATGCTGGCCATAGTCACACCCCAAGGTCTGAGAAGCCTTAAACTCTGGGAGCAAAGGATGCAGCTGAGAAAGTGCTGGTCCGTCCGTCCTTCTTTTTTTCCTTCCTTCCTTCCTTCCTTCCTTCCTTCCTTCCTTCCTTCCTTGCTTCCTTCCTTCCTCTCTCTCTCCCTTTATTTATATATATTTTAAAAAACACCCAGCAGTTTTTAAAGGGGGGAAATAAAGGCACTGGCTTCAAGGACAATGAAATACACCTGCGGAAGCCTTCAGATTATAGGAATTTTGATCCTAATCCATTTTCTGCTTTATAATCCCTTGTGAAGGAAATGTTCCCTTTCTATAGCATTCATGAGACACCATTGAAGCTGAGTAGGAAAGGGAAATGGAGTTTTCGGTGGTGGGGCATGAGTGTCGCTCTGGACCTGCTGCTCCAACTGCTCCCCCATCATTTCACATTTCTGCTTCCTCTCGTGGGCTTTATCTGCATGTCCTTCACCCAGGCCAGGCCGGCGGCAGAGCTGGGTCCCACAGGGCAGACGCCGGTGCTACGTGAGGGCCGCTGTGTCCACAGTGAGGTGAGAGCACAGCATCTGAAGTGACCTTCCCCACATGGGCAGATCCACGAGAGCTCCTGAGGTAACACCCTCGTGGGCCACACTGGGCCATGCTCCCCTAACTCAGAGACCAGGCATCACCAGGCGCTGGGCTGATGCCACGGAGGGACGCCCATGGCACAGGCACGTGGGCCTTCGTGGTCTACACCTCCTGCCCGGGGAGTATCACCCACACGTGATACTGGCTTGCTTAGCCCCCGACCTCCCAGCAGCTCCGGGCTGAGGGTGGTGCAGAGGAAAGACGGTGAGGACAGTCTTCTGGGGCCTGCAGAGCCAGGGCGCCCTGCCCAGCGGGGTCCCTCGAGGCAGCCGTCACGGTAGCAGCCCAGCCCGCTCACTCTGAGGAACCGTGAGCACAACCAAGGTCCTGTTGGTCTGGTTTCCATCCTGGTGCCCCCCAGTTTTCACCTGAGGCCCCCTGGGCCAGTTTGGAGGACTGGGAGCCGCAGGCAGAGCCCTGCTCTGGGAGGAAGATCGCCAAGAACGAAAGCCACCAGAAAGTTCTGAGCACTTTAGACACGGGCTGGCACCTTTGGCCGTTGGAGCTTCCGTCTTCTTGAATCTGGTGTCTGTTTCTGGGGTGCTGGGGCCTGGCACACTGGGGCACATGTCCACTGCTAACTGCCCCCTGTGTTCCTTTGTATGTCCGACAGGCCTTGGTCTCAGGGTCCCCGAGACGCCCAGCATCAGTAGCTAGGAAGGCTCTGCTACAGCCTGGAGCACCGCGGCTTTTCCCTTGGCCAGGAGCTGCGGGGACCCTGACATGCAGGGCCAGCACCGTCTCTGTGATTCCCCGGGGCTTCCTCTGAGGAAAGTCCCTTGTCTGGGATGCAGGGGCGGGGGGGGGGGGGGGGCGACAGGAATTCTCAGCCCTAGTTTCAGCTACTTTGGGAAACCCCCGGGGTGGATTCAGCTCTCTGACAGACACAAACACCTGGCCAGGTGTGGGTGGCCATGCAGGGAGCTGCTCTCTGCTGTGTGCTCCCATTCTCCAGGCCCCTGAGGGAATCAGGACAGAGCATGCCGGCTGAGCCCAGAGCTACAGCCCAGGGCTGCTGGAGGGCCCCACCAACAAGAGCCCCTGAGCCCAGGAACCCTCACAGGACAAATGAGGGGTCAGTCACAGAACACACAAAGCGTTCGTGGAGCAACTCAGCTCTCTCTCCCCCCTCCCCATATACACTCAGATACACACTCAAACACTCAGATATACACTCAAACACTCTGATACAAACTCACACACTCAGATACACACCCATACACCCCCCCACAGATACGCAGTTACATACATTCATATACTCACTCACACTAATACACTCACACATTCATAAACACACTCATAAACTCATATACACATTCATACACTCAACTTTCATAACTCTCACAAATTCACACGCCCACACACTCATACACTCACACACTCACACTTTCCTGTACTCATACCCACACACTCGTACTCTTTCATACGCTCACACACGCATACACTCATACACATACTCACTTTCATATTCTCACACAATCATACATTGAGTCATCCTCACACACACTCATACATTCATGTACTTGCTTTCATACATCACGTGCTCAGACACTCACACACACACACTCACATTTATGTATTTGTACTCATAAACACTCTCACACTCATATGCTGTCACACACACTCTTATATTTATACATTTACACTCTCACACACACACACACACACACACACACACACACACACACACCCTCTCGTGGACACAAATCTGGGGGCTGAGTCTGAGGTGTTCCCTGATGACAGAAGACGGAACCCCAGTGCTGAACCTGCATGGGGTTTGGGTCCCTTCATGAAACCGGGCAGCCTGGGCTGAGCAAGCTGTGCTGGTTCTGATGCACCTGGATCTCTGCCCCCCTCCCCCTGCCCCATCCAGTGGCATCTGCAGTGAAGGGACACTCCCCACCCCTTGCTGGGCAGGGGGCACCAGGGCCCAGCTCAGTGTGGGGGGCACAGCAGGTACAAACCTGGCCCAGGAGCCTGTCCATGCAGGCCGCTCTGGGTGCCCCAGAACCAGCCCCACTGCCCCTCCCAGTCCTGCATTCTCTGGCCGGGGGCAGTGGAGAAGCCCCGGCTGGGTCCCCCGCCTGTGTCCTGCTTCAGCCTGCCTGGGTGGAGGGGGTCTCACTAGACATCCCCAAATCACTGAGAAGCCCCCTTTCCTTCCGCCTCAGAGCTTCGGACACCCGCACAGGAGCCCGAGGCTGCCCAGTGCTCCCAGGAGTAGCCAACCAGGGAGGACCCTCCTGGCAGCTGGCTCTCAAATTTCCACCCAGGACAGAGTGGGGTGGAGGGGGTCCTCACCATGCCCCTCGGCCTGGACCCCGGCGCGGTGGGCACGGGCACTTACCGGCCATCTGCTGAATGCCGCTGAAGGCGCCCAGGTTGCTGGACGAGGTGGCCTGCTGGAGGAGCTGCAAGGGAAGGTGAGAGCTGAGACCGGGCGGGAGCCTCTGTGAAGTCTGCCGGGGTAGAAGGTTCCAGACTCGGGCCGTAAATCCTTATTAATGTCTCATCTCCATTAGGAAGCAGACAGGGGGAAACCCAGTAACACTCCCGCCTTAAAACAATTAATCAATTGACGCTTTTTAACAGCCAGGTGTTAAATCTACTGAAGCCACGCAGCGTGACTAATACTCCCTCGTTGTATCTGGCGCCCGCCCGAACTCCCATCTCTTAGCCGTGGCTACCGGGCTTCCCTGCACCTCGTGGACTTGGCAGTCTGGGCCCACGCCTCCCCTCACCACCACAGCAACCACAGACACCCCCGTCCAGCCTGGCACGGTCGCCTGACCACGCTTCTAGCAGCAACCTGTGCCCAGATCCTGGCACCTGCACAGAATGCCAGGACCAAGTAGACGCTGTGGCTACTATAGACCCCGAGACACAACTGCCGTGTTTGCGCGCACTCCTGCAAACCACCCTGAGATCCCCCTGCTGTACACACCCACACCCCTGCAAACCTCCCTGAGATCCCCCTGCTGCACACACCCGCACCCCTGAAAACTCGCAGCTGGAGGCCAGGATGAGGACCTGTGCTTCCCTGGAGCTCTCCAGATGCTCCTCTGGCCAGCTGGGAGAAGGCAGGGCCAGGAGCCTCACGTGAGCTTGCATCCATGAGGCTGAGACAAATCCTTGATGAGGGCCTGGACCCCCAAAGCAGGGCTGCGGCCTGGGGGGAGTGGGTGCCGAGGCTCCCCGGCTGGTGGGCTAGCACCCAACTCAGGTGCTCCTTTTGGGTGTGCATTGTCTAGAGAAATGCTCCAGGAACTTGGGCAAACAGCGATGGTCTGAGCAGGCCAGTGGAAGGCCCAGGAGGGGGCAGAGGGCCAGTGAGATGCTGGAGGGGACACCAGGTCTCGGGCGCGGGAGGAAGCGGCTGGAGTGCTTGTCACAGAGCAAAGGCTTGGGGGGTCCCAAGGGTCTGAGCAAAGTCCAGTGTCTGGGTTTTGAAGCTTTGAAAACTGGGCAGGAGACCCACACCTCAGAGGACAGCTGAGGTGTCAGTGGCCACACGTGACTCTGTGCCCAGAGGCCACTTTGGACAGTCTTTGAGGACTGTGTGTGGTGCCAGGATTCAGCAAGTCCCCGCAGTCCTGCATGCAGGCAAGAGCCTTGCCTTACGCGGTCTTCTTCTAATGGAATGCTTTTATTAAAAAACAAAACTGGGCAGGAGTACCTGGGGTCTGTGGTGCCCAGGTCCCAAGGAGACCAACATGGCCACAGGATCATAGGTGGCATGGGGCCTGGGAAGGCCCTTCACACAGGGGGCACTGTCCGAAATCCTGGTCAGCAGCCATGTTTTAACACATGGACGCCGGCATTGTCGAGTGGGGGAAAAGGGTCCCAGCAGGCCAGTAGAAGGCCCAGGAGGGGGCAGAGGGCCAGCGAGATGCTGGAGGGGACACCAGGTCTTGGGCACAGGAGGAAGCGGACCCTTGGGTCTGCTTCAAGACCAAGCAGTGCCAGGGAGGATGAGATGGGGGTTCCCAGCCCTCAGGTGAGAGTCGCCTGCTTCACGGGGTCCACGCTTCTTACTTGGCTCCCAGGAGCAAGGGCCTGTGAGACTTTCCTGGGATTCCTGCAGGGGTAGGGGCTGAGCTCCCCGGGGATCCTGCAGGGGTGAGGGAGGGCTGAGCTCCTTGGGGATCTTGCAGGGGTGAAGGGGGGGCTGAGCTCCCCGAGGATCCTTCAGGAGGGGAGCTGGGCTCCCCGGGGATCCTGCAGTGGTGAATGGAGCTGAGCTCCCTGGGGATCCTGCAGGGGTGAGGGAGGCCGAGCTCCCTGGGATTCCTGCAGGGGTGAAGGGGGCTGAGTTCCTTAGGGATCCTGAAGGAGGGGGCTGAGTTCCCAGGGGTTCCTGTAGGGGTGAGGAGCTGAGATCCCCGGGATTTCTGCAGGGGTGAGGGGCTGAATTCCCCAGGATTCCTGCAGGGGTGAGGGGTGTGAGCTCCCCAGGGTTCCTGCAGGGGTGAAGGAGGTTGAACTCCTCAGGGATCTGCAGGAGGGGGACTGAGCTCCCTGGGGTTTCTGCAGGGGTGGGGGGTGGCTGAGCTCTCCTGGCTTCACCACTGCACCCTCAGAACAGCAATCAGCCACCCCGTGCCGCAGGGTATCACGCAGCCCCCCGAAACAAGCACTCTGGTCCAGGGGTGAGATCCTAGTGCTGAGGTGCCCCAGGAAGCTGGGACATCCCTGCCTGTCCAGAAGGCACTTTCGTCCCCACCCTGGGGGCACAGAGGAGACCCCGCGTGTCACACTCACCGCCAGGTACTGTGGGGTGAGGCCACCCAGGCCCGTCAGGTTCCCCCACGTGGCAGTGTTGAGCTGCTGCATCTGCTGGGCCAGCTGCTGCTGCAGGCGCCGCTGCTCCTTGTCCTTCTGGGTGTCAGCGAACTTGACCACGATGGGTGAGGAGCAGCCCTGCGGTCAGACACAGTGGGAAGCGGGGGGTTAGCTCCCGCTGTGGGGCTCGCCGTCCCCTTGGGGCACCCGCGCTCCCGGACTGGCTTTCCACCGGAGCCAGGTCTGTTTGTCTCTCTTCTTCTCGGGGCAGAACCGGCAAGAGCAAACTCCAGAGACTGTCCTGGGCGCTCTCGGGGCCGGGTGGCCAGGGGCGCCCGCTGCTGCCATCCGGTTATTAAACCGCCTCTCCTCCTGGCTTCCAGAGTCTTCCTTCCACCTGGCTGGGCCTTGGCAGGCCCCGTGCCCGAGTGGTGCTCCCGGGTGAGCTCAGGCTTCGCGTGTGCGGAAGGGCTGGCCTCTGTGGGGCTGCCTGTGTCCACTGTGGGCAGGGGCCCGGGAGGGGAGTGGGCGTTGGGCGCCTCCGGGAGCTCTGACGGGGTCAGAGGAGGGAGCGGGGCCGCTGCTGTAGGACTGCGGGTGGACGCCAGTGCTGTCCCGAGAGCCAGGCCCCGGAGCCACATGGTCTTCCTCCCGGGGTGGGGGGGCATCCACTCTCTCCAGCCCTTGAGGGTGGGGGCGACTCCTGCTGGCTTCTGGGCGCCCAAAGCTCCTGACTATTCTAGCAGCTGCTTCTCAGGAGGCCAGGAGGTGGGTGCAGAGCGGCCCCTGGGTTGGGGCGGGTGGGCCGTGCCTGAGCAGATGGCGGGCTTCAGGGCGATGAGGGCCTCGTTCCGGGGTGACACTGGGCAGAACCTGCTTCCTCTGTCCTGGCCTCCCTGCACGCAGGGCTGGCCCCACCTCCTGTCGCCGTGAAAGTCGTCACGTCTTTCTGAGGCAAAAAGCCATTCGACCCAAGTGGCGTCAAAAAACAAAATCCCCAAACCCAAAGCCCCTCCAGGAAACACGGCAGCTCTGCTCCAGGCCTACCCGGAGCCCCATTTCCTGCTCCGTGTGTGAGCCCGGGGTCACCCCCTGCTCTGGTTCAGCCTCAGGGGGAGGGGGGCTCCCTGTCTGTCAGTCTCAGGGCTTGAGCCTTCTTTGGCTGCTGGTTCTGCTCAGCCAGCAGCAGCCGCGACAGGAATCCTGGCCTGTCCATCGCGGGACAGCCTGGCTGACACCTAACCTGCACCAGCTGGGCTATGCAGTTTCTTCCTTAAGTACAGAAGGAAAAAAAAAAAAGCCCGCAGCAGTCAGAAACCAGGCCAATAACGACCCTGGTTAAAAGTGATGGCTTGAAACCAGTGGGAAGCGGGGTGCAGGAGTGTGGGCGGGTGGGGGGCAAACACAGGTCCTCTTAGGGCCTCTTTGACATGTCCATGTCCCCGTCCTCTGGAATTCAAGCTGTCAGGGACCCCAAGTGGCGTGAAGCCACAGCTGGGAGGTCACATTCGAGCTGGTTTGGAGAAAGGACAAACTTGAGTTTCCCCACTGCAAAGTCAGTAGTTTGACACGGGAACAGGAAAAGCAGGGGCCGAGGATGGGGTTCTCTGCCAAGCCTGGGGGCTGGCCAGGTTTGGGGTCTTAGGCAGGGCTGAGGGGGTTTGAGAATGCCTACGCTCTGTGTTTGCCTGCTTCTGGGGGGTACGGCCGCCCCCAGCTGCCCTCTGTGCTGAGGAACTCTGGGCAGTGAACTGGAACACAGACCCCAAGGGGCCACCCGGCGCTGCCCAGGTAGGAGTAGGGGGAGGAACAGGGAGACAGTGCTTTGAGCAGAGCTAAAAAATAAAAATAAAAAAATAAGTGAATGAGCTCAAGGGGGTATCCACTGAATGAAAATCACGGAATCACCGGGAGTGAAAACCATGACAGATGAGACATACATGGAAGAGAATAAATGCAGGGAGAGATTTTTTTTTTTCTCTTTTTTCCCCTAGTAGCTTTTTGGCTTTTCCTCTCTCAACTGCGCAGCATGTGTTTATGGGACAAGAGCACCTCAGAAGAGGGGGGACCTGGGAGGGGCTGCTGGGGTGCCTCGCCCAGGCCCCTGAGGGGGCTCGGGTCCTAGCAGGGGGCAGGTTCAACTGAGCTGGCTTTCAGGTTGGGGGTGAGTGTCTTAGAAACGCATTTCACTGAAAGGAAAGCACAGTAATTATATAAGATCTGTGGAGAATATTGAAGGCAAAATGAGGCTCGAAAAAGACAATAGGCTTTGCAATGCTGGTATGGAAACTCGGAAGTACAGGGAACACGGAGTGACAAGGCCATGCACGCTCCCGCTCCCAACCCCCCTGGGCTGGCTGTAAAAAAGTTGCCCACAAAACATGACGCGGAGTGATCACTGAGCTCCCAGCATGCTTTGGGAAATGCAGCATTGCAAAAAACAAACAAAACAAACAAAAAGAACTACCCACGCCCCCCCAAAAAGGAGGTTAAAAAAAAAAAGAAGCTCAAACAGTCAAGATTTTTTTTTTTTGCACATGAAATAAAATTGAAAATGTTTTCTTTTTCTTTTTCTTTTTTGGCAAAAGATGAAAACATGACTTCAGCTACCACAAGGCTGCCTCCGGGAAAGAGTCCCCGACACAGAGATACAGTCCACACAGTACGGCAGAACATGCACCCCGAGACGTCCCAGACAGCACAGGAGAAGGACCAGCATCTCACTCTTGGAATGCTTTTGTGCAAAATTCCGAAAGGCCATGACCCAAATCACAGACGAAAAGTACAGAGCCATCCACTACGAAAGGGGACCCCCACGCCCGCCAAAGCTCCTCCCTGCAACATTCGGATGGGAGGAGGCAGCCCCGAGCTGTCAGGGGCCCATGTCCGCAATCATCATCTGGGCTCGCTTGAAGCGGGAGAAAAAGGAGTTTCTGCATGCCCTGGGGACCAGCCTCGGGAAGGCTGGACCCCACATTCAGAGCAAGTGCATCAAAGGAGCCCCCCCATTCAGCACTGGATGGGATTTGGAGTTGGGGGCGGGGGCCAGGCTGTTTATGTTAAATTCACACTGGCCCCAGCCAGGGAGGTGTGTAACCCAGTGCCAACTCAGAGTACAGGGCTCCAGAGCAGGATAAACTACAGTGCAGGGCCCTGGAGCAGGGGGTTGCAATCAGAGGCTCAAAATCAGGGCAGAACCACCAGTGCACGGTTGACTAGATGCATTTCAAGTCATTCGGGGAAAGAGGGAGAGGAGAGGGGCCGAGGGGGTGGAATGGGGAGAGAGAGGGCGGGGAAGGAGAGGGAGGAGCCAGAGAGGATGAGGAGGAGGAGGGAGAGAAGGGGAGGAGGGGGGGTTGAGTGGGAAAAGAGGACCAACGGGGCGAAGGGCTGATGGAGGGTTAAATCTGTGATTGCCATGTGAACGATTCCGCCACGGAGAGAATTGCGTTACCATTCCCCATCATTTGCACAAAGAAAACAAAGAAAGGGCAGATGATACAGTACCTCCATAGTCTGAGACTGGTGCATGGCTTTGATTGCATTCTGTGCCATTGCCCTTGTAGAAAATGTGACAAACGCACAGCCTGTGGGGAACAAGGGGACAGGGGCAGGAAAGACAAAAAACAACAAGACAAAAGGGTTGGACGCTTGTTAAACCAACACAGTCTACGAGAACTGCCACAGGACGACACTGTTCTCAGTAGTACAGAGGAATAAACGACTTCTCTCTCTGGGTTTACCGCCTTTGGCTTTTTTTTTTTTTAAATCCACACTCCTGACTCGCTAATCAGACCCAAAGCAGGAAGGTTGATTGATCAGTTTGGTTTCCTAAAACGGTGACTCAGACGAGGCAAGTTGGATCCTTGATTTATTTATTTTTCCTTTTTTTTTCTTTTAGCCACAGGATTGGAAATGATTAAGATCTCGCTTGCATTTCCTCAAATAAAAAGTTGCTCTCTCTCTCGCTCTCTCTCTCTCTCTCTCTCTCTCTCTCTGTCTCGCTCTCTCTCTCTCTCTCTTAAAAAAAACCTTTTCTCCACGGCTGATTATCTTTACTTCGGCATCCACAGTTAGAGCTTCCTTGGTCTTTCACATTTCAGTGGTGATTTGGGGGTAGCAAATAATTAAACCTTCACACCAAGGGCAAATTAGCCAATAGATTCCATGAGCTCAAATTGTCCACCACTATGAATATTCAATCCTCGGGGTGGTAAAATACACACGTGCATCTTGATAAATCTGGGCTTTTGGTAACACGGACAAATATACCCCCAATCCTGTACCAAGCACTTAGTACATTATTAATCAGGAACAAAAAAGCAAATGCCCTATTCCTCTGAATAATCAACAGGGCATAGACAGCGACGTATACATTTGCATCCGACTTTTTGTTGGGGAAGCTCTATGTGGCTTTTGAAAGAGCCCGTGGACAGTTTGGTGTACCTGAGGCTGCACACGTTTTCCTGGCTGGGGAGACCTGTCCACCTGTGCCCATTGGATGGCATGCCGAGCCGGTTCCCCCCCCCCCTTTTCTCCCCCCACTCATGTCCCTGTCTCAGCTCCTGGGGTGGCGACAACCCCCACGCAGGTCACCTCTCTTGTGACACCGTTAATCAGCCGTCCCTGACAGACCTGCAGCCTCCTGAAATCTGCATTTTATCCTCAGAGAGGAAGACTGTGAGGTTCATGCAGGCTCGGGCTGGTTTGATGGGAGCTTCCCCAGCTGTGCAGCCATTTCCCAGAGGCACCTGCGACACTCAGCGTGTGTTGATGGTCAGTGCCTGCCTCTTGCATGGTCTGCTTCAGAATGATTCCGGGTTTCACTCAACTTCCCCGAGCCGTTATTATCACTGCTACTTAAAAGATGCCCAGAAGAAGCCGCCCCAACAGAGGGGCGGGCACGGGCTGCCACACATGCAGGGGGCATGCAGGGGTGGAGCTCTGATCTTGACAGGGAGACTCCGGGGGGGTCCCCAGAACCCCCTGCTCAGACCCCACTCCTGCCCAGCAGTGAGCTGAGAACCCTCTTTCCTCCCGCCACTCTCCCTGGGCACTGGGGAAGGTGGCCGCGTCGGTGATGTCTGGGCACCAGCCAGCCCTGCAGCTCAGAGGAAGCCCAGCCAGGGTGTAACACGATCGGCTGGGAAACGCAACACTTTGGATTTTATTTTGTGCTTCACGGGCTACTTTTTTCCTAGGCAGAACCGCTGAGGATGGGGCAGATTTCCCTCACACTGTCCCATGACACAGGCTTTTAAGAAGCCGAAGTTTCGTACGTGATGGACACTCTGGCCTTCCAAGCCGTGGCCGAGGTCCTGCACACAGGCGGCCAGGGCGCTGTCCTGGCTAAGGGGGGCGCTGCCACTTCCCTGGGCACCTCTGCGAGGTGGGGTTAGGGTATGACAGAGGGCAGAGCTTCAGCCGCTCTCCAGACTGGTGCTCAAAGGTGCACCCCAGATTTCTTGCCCGTTCAAGAGAAGCCTCACTCCTGCAGCACCAATGGGAGGCACTCGGAGGCGTTTTCTTTCTGCATTTCTTTGCTGGAGGCTCCTAGAGGGGGCCTGGGCCGAGCCTGTGTGGCGCCCACAGGCGCCTCTGACTACCCAGGAGCGGGGGTCCACCCGCACCCCCAAACGGAGGTTAGGGACGCATTGAGAAGCACGGACAATGTGGACAGAGATCAATAAGGCACAGCTGATGCAGTTGCCACAATCCCAGAACAAGTAGGACGTGGGTAAGTCACTTAGTGAGAAAGACAAGAAAACCATTAGCAGGGCCCCAGAGGAAAGGGTTAGCAACAGCACAGAGAGCTCTTCCTCGCTGCACCCCGGGGCTTATGCCTATAGCTTTATGGGCTGTCCCCTGCCCTATCCCAAAGACCTTCTGAGAACTCGGGCGACTGTCTAGCCTTTTTAGGAGAGAGAGAGAGACCGGGAGTGAGTGTGTGTGTGTGTGTGTGTGTGTGAGAGAGAGAGAGAGAGAGAGAGAGAGAGAGAGAGAGAGAGAGAGTGAGAGAGAGAGAGAGAGAGAAAAGAGAGAAAGTGAGAGAGGAGAGAGAGTGAGAGACAGAGAGACTGGAGATAGAGACAGAGGAGAGACTGAGAGACAGAGACACAGAGGGAGACAGAGTCAGAGAGAGACACAGGGAGACAGAGAGAGATGGAGAGAGGAGAGACTGAGAGACAGAGATAGAGAGAGGAGAGACTGAGAGACAGAGAAACAGAGTCAGAGACAGAGAGAGGAGAGACTGAAAGAGACACAGAAACTGGAGAGACAGAGACAGACAGAGACACAGAGACAGAGTGAGAGACAGAGAGAGGCACAGAGAGACAGAGACAGAGACAGGAGAGACAGAGAGAGACACAGAAACTGGAGAGACTGAGAGACAGAGACAGAGAGAGACAGAGAGACAGAAACACAGTCTCAGAGATAGACAGAGACAGACAGAGAGATAGAGAGACAGAGACAGAGAGAGAGAATCTCCTTGTGCCTGTCGGGCCCTGTGCCGTGTGCTGTGTCCGATTATGAGAGAATATCCCCGTGGAGAAAACCCCATCTCTGTGCCCCCTGGGGAGGCTCCGTGTCTGGAACCGAATGCTTCTGGGTGGGGGCCTGCTGGCTTTTGTCGTTCCTCTGCAGCGGGAGATGGCAGTCGTCCCTGCCTTGTCAGCCCTGGGGGACAGAAACTCCAGGCCCAGTGGGACAGAAACGGCTGTAGGTGGCGCTGACCTCTCCTGCCCACCCGCATGCTGCGTGCGGCGGCTGTGGCCTGAGAGCCAGCCAAGAAGGTTCTAGAATGGTGCAGGGGCTCTGTCGGCAGACTGTCCTCCGGCGGCTGCGCGTGAAGAGCCCCAAAGGTGGGCAGCCTGGGGAGCACTGTGTCGCGGCCACTGCTGGCCTGTGTGCACCTAGCCGCTGCTTCCTGTCCCTCTCTGAAGGTCAGGGAGAAGAAGCCAGCTCCTGGGACGACTGGGCAGCCGCCTCGCCACTCCACCAAGAGCATGACTCACGGGGAAACGTTCCTCCACTCGCCTCCTCCTGCCAGCAGTTTGGGGCAAGACCAGGCACACGGGACCCTTGCTCCGGGCTGTGAGGGGCTTTAGGATTCACAGAGCCATGAGCAGACGCCTCCTCTGAGCCAGAAGGAAAAACTCCGTGAGCAGAGCCGGGCTCTCAGGGCTCGCTGAGTCTTCTGGACAAGAGGGCCCTGAATGCCGGCCGGGGGCAGCCGTGGGTCCCTTACCCTGGCCTGCGATGCTGCTGGTCTCCTTAACACAGGTGCCGGCTTCCTCCGGCCGACTGGGCAGAGCATGCGGGGACAACCTCACCCTTGGCAAAGCGTCACAGTGAGGGGAGCCTGGAACATTCCTTGGAGTCAGGTGATAAAAGGCAGCCCGGCCTTAGGGTGGGGATGAGGCTGCGGCTGATGCTCGGGGCACCCACGGGCCTGGGAAAAGTGGGGTCCCCACATGCTTGAGCGAGCCAGCCTGAAGCCCTGTCCTCATGCCCCCAGGACACAGGAGCTAATGCACAGTGCCCGCCTGGGCTCAGCCAGCAGCCCCAGGTTTGACCGCTTCACCCATCAGGTCGGGAGAATGTTGGGTACCATAAACAGCCGGGAGATTCTGAGGCCTTAAATGGCAGCGGGCACGGGAGGGGGAGCGTGGAGGGCCACGCGTCTCTGCGAGAGGCTGTGCCAGGGTACAGGGACTTGTGGAGGGAGCCCCCACTATCCTGACGGGGCCTGGGTACCTCAGGAAATGCACCTGCAGCCCCTGGCTGAGATGAGGCTTGTGGCCAGTGCCGTAGAGGCTGGGTGGGAGTGCTCAGGGCCCCTGTCCCCCAGGAAGTGTCTCCAGGAGCTAGGGCAGAGGGCAGAGGGGTAACCACGCAGGGGTTGGTGTGACCTGTGGTGACTGGGTGGGTGGGGTGCCCAGGAGGTGCGGAGTGGGCGCTGAAGGGTCCCGCAGAACCTTTCTGGCCCTTCGTCCATCCTGGCTGGTCTTTCCCACTGGGCGAGCTGCGTGAACAGCTCAGAGCCCCCCTACTGCCCCCACCGTGGACACAGTCCCACCACGCAGGGCCCAGACACGCCTCACCCCACACTGGGGAGGCCGCTGGTGCCTGGCTTGGGGGAGGAGAAACACCCCATAGAGCCTGGGGTGCCCAGACTTCCCGCGGCCCCTGGTTTTCTCCACCATCCCTTGCTCATCACACCCATGGCTGGGCCGGCACCGTCCTTCACCCGCGTCCTCCCTGCCTCCCTCCAGCTCCTCTGTGATCTTCATTGGCTCAAATCTAGCTTTGCTCTGGGCCAAGCTGAGCTGAGTGCTGCTCCTGGCCCAGCCTTGGGAATCGTGGGGGTCTGGGCCATGGGGCTACCTGCTGGCAGGTCACGCCGTCACCCTGGACTCTCTCCGGCCTGAGCCGGCTCTCGGGGGCTAGTCTGGGGGTCTCAGAGCCGTGAGGAGATGCTCCGGCCACCCTGCCTGGCTTCCTCTCAGCGCCCCCCTTCCTTCCGGGCCTTGAGGGTCCCGGCGTGGCATGGCTCCCCTCTAGCCCCTCTGCTCCCTAAGCCCGGGGTCTCCTGTGCTCACACCCCAAAACTGCAGAGCTGAGGCCACCTTCCTGCCCCTGCACAGTTCCCTGACTGCTGCCCACTGCCCATTGCCCTTGCCTGGGGTGGGGGCGGGGGTCTGGGTATCAGTGCGGAGTCTGGGAGAAGTTCAGCTGGTGTCCAGGGAGGGCTGGGAAGTGCCCTCCTGAGGTGCTGGGGACGGGGGGTGTGCGGGCAGGGCAGTCTGGCCCCCGGACCCTGTGTGCCTGTTCTCGGGGATGAACCCCAGCGACCTGCCCTAGGTTCCTGGGGGCCCCGGCCCACCTTGGCTGGGCAGAGACAACAGTGGGGACACTCAGCTTCTGCGGGGCTCCCGCCCCCGGCCTGTCCACCTTCCCCCACGGAGCCCACCAGGGAAGGCCTGGTGTCGGGCGGTGCCACCCTGCCTCCCGGGCACTCACCTCGGCTCAGCCCGTCGGGCCCCCGCAGGATGCGGCACTCCTCGATCTGGCCGAACGGAGAGAACATGACCCTGATATCATTCTCGTTGCACTTCTTGGAGACCATTCCTATGAACAACTTCCTGTCTTCCACGGCTGAGGACAAAGAGCACGTGTGAGTGACGGCCCCTTCACTCACCCTCACAGTGCACTGCCGCCTTGTCTCGGGGGGACCCCAAGGCCGTCCCCACCCCGGCACCCCTGCTGCCCTCTGAGCTTCCATTTGCCCTTCCAGAACATTCTATTCCTCCTGGTGTCTTAGAGAACTGAGCTAATCACCGCTGTGAAGCCCCCTGTGGAGAGAGAGGGAGGTGGCGACATGGCTGAGTGAACCAGACTCTTTCTGGATATTATTATTTTTTTCTTTTAATACATTTGTTTTGTTTTGTTTTGTTTTTTGCTTTTTGGGTCACACCCAGCAATGCTCAGGGGTTCCTCCTGGCTTTGCAAATGCCCTACCTGCTGTGCTATCACTCCGGCCCCGTCTTTCTGGATATTCTTAATTCTTCTATTCTTTTTTTTTTTTTTTTGCTTTTTGGGTCACACCTAGCGATGCACAGGGGTGACTCCTGGCTCTGAGCTCAGGAATTACTCCTGCTGGTGCTCAGGGGAACCTATGGGATGCTGGGAATCGAACCCGGGTCGGCCGTGTGCAAGGCAAATGCCCTACCTGCTGTGCTATGGCTCCAGCCCCAATTTTTCTATTCTTCTTGCTAGATGTTTCAAGCTTGAGTGTGGGTGAAAGACAAAGGGCAGAAGAGGGGCTAGATGTGGCAGGAGACTCAGGGAAGCTTCCGGTGAGCCTAAGCCACCCCCACAAGCTGCTTCATCCCCACGGAGGCCGACGAGGGGCTGGATTAGGGTCACCTCCTCCGCTTGCTGCAGGACCCATGCCAGTGCTTGCATGGGCCCACAGGGAGATGAGAGCTCGCTCTGAAACACTTGGTCACCCTGTGTGGAAGGACCACAGCATGTCCTCTCCTTGGGTGGCCCTCTGGGTGCATGTTCTGGCCTCAGACCTGCAGGGGCTGGGGAGCAGTGGCTGTGGGGTGTCTGTCAGCGCCTCGTCCCCATTCATGTCTCTAAACGGAAGGGGAAATGGCCACACTGGTGGCCACCGACTGCGCCCTCCGGCTGGGCCCCTGAGAAGGGGCTCATTGCCTAGACCCAGTAAGGGGGCCTGGACAGACCAGGGTCTGCAGGCTCCTCACTCCAACCCTGGCCTCTACCCACTGATGGATGGCCCCAGGACCCCATAGTGGCGTCAGGAGTGGCTGGGCCCAGCAAGTGGCGGGCAGGGGCGCTGACTGGGCCTGGGAGCTGGGGAGAGGTCTGGCCCGATGGTGTCTCTGAGCTGGGGTCGAGAGCATCCCGGGGCTAAAGGTGAGCATGTGGCCCTGAGGCTGGAGAGAAGCACGGGCCCATGGTGGAGCTCGGCAAGGGCCAGCGGGCAGCAGCCTGATGGGCCCCATGGCCTCTGCCGTAGGGGCCCGGCACCATGACCCTCAGTTCCTGAACGGCCGTAGAGGCTCCTGTGATCAGATGAAGGGGCAGCAATGAGAAAGTGCTCTAGGTGCTGACCTGGGGTGTGGGGCGTCCCTGAGCCATGCCAGGGGCTCTTTTCCCAGAGGTACAGGAGGAACCCAGTACCCCCGAACAGGGAGTAGCTGGCACTGACCATCTTCCCCAGGCTGTTGGGCTGACCCCCACATCCTCAAGCCTGAAACCAGCCCTGCCTGGGTAGCTCCTGTCCTGCTTTGTTCTGCTGGGCTTCTGGGGTGGCAGGGATGGGGAACCTTTCCAGGACTCTCCAGGGGGCTGGGAATCAAGGCTGGCTCGTGCCCAGAGTCCGGACAGGCCCTTTGAGCGCCTCCCTGACCCTTGCCTTGTTCTTCTGCATGAATGTGGCCACTGGGGCACAGGGAGCTGGGCGCCAGGTTCTTGGAGCTCTGGGAAGCCACGAAGCAGGAGGCGGCTGGGGTGGGGGGTGGGGCAGCAGGGGGTGGAAGTCCCACCCCTACCACCAGCCACTCTGGGCCTAATAGCGGGGGAGCAGAGATTCACTCGTGCTGACCCCCGTGGCTGAACGTGGCCAAGCCAACCTGGGGAGTTGCCGACATGGCAGGTGTCCCCATCGCCCAGGCCTGCGGAGACCCTCTCTGCATCTCTAAGTGGCTTTTCCTTAGAGGTCCATCGGAACGAATGAGGCCAGGCCACATGGGAGCCTGGCAGGTCCGTGACCTCTGGGACGATGCTCAGTGCCTGGGCCTCTGGCCCGCTTGGGGACTGGGGAGGTTGAAGGGGCGTTTCTCCTTAGAGCTTTCCGAAGCTTTCCCACGAGGTGTGGGGAACATGGCGGGCTGACTCCGGGCTCTGTCTGCAGAGTGCAAACAGGCCTCCCCTGTGCAGGCCGTGGCCCCCTGGGCAGAGGGGTGCAAACCGCACAGCTTCCAGGTGGGCCTCCTCAGCCCTCCCTGCCCACCCCACCTCACGGCGGACACTGGAGTTGCAGGCACACCTACCATTCGACTTCTCGCTGTCCGCGGGCTTCATCTGAATGGGATGATGCATCTGTAACAGAAAAGGGGCAAGGTCAAGGCAGGCTGGCCAGTGGCCCCGGCTCAGGGACCCTGGATGCTCCGTCCGAGTTCCGGGAACCACTCGGAGCCCCGCAGTGTGCGGCTGGCAGGGGGCGCTCTCCCGCTCCCTGCAGAAGCCAGGCCTCTGTCATCAGACTTGGGCCCACCGCTGTGCCTTCTCCTCCCTCGTCCCCAAGCAGGAAGACTGGGGGGATGGTGGCATTGCCATCCTGCCCTTGCTGAACTGCGCACTGCTCCGAGCTGGCTCTGGGTCCGACCCAAGTGAGAGGGTGTCCTGGTGGCAATTCTTAAGTGAGGGACAGTATTAGCAGGCTGGTGGCAACAAGGGACCCAGTACCCACCGGGGGCGTCCAAGTAGGGGGGCATCACAGGGGCATGGGAGGGGGAAGGGGAGAAGCCCCGGGCATGGGGCATGCGGCACATGGCCTGCTGGGGGCGGCCCTCACTCCTCTGCTCGGCTGTGAGGAGCCCAGTAGGCACAGGTGCAGGTCAGGGAGGACAGAGAGTGGACAGAGCGTAAGAGCGTTGAGGCAGCCAGTGAGCCCAGGAACCCGCTGCCAGGACTGAGACAGAACAGAGGTTGGGGGGAGGGCACTGGAGAGTCTGAGGGTACTGCTTGTCAGCAGATGTGAGCCCCCTGCACGATTCCACCTCTGCTGCCCCACGCCCTCTTTGGGCTAGGGGACTGGGCCCCGGCGGCAGGCGGGTGCTGAGGGAGGGCAGCCCTGCGTGCCACCTATGGAGGGCTGTGAGCCAAGGGCTGGCCACGTCCAGGCCGACAGGCAAAGTCCTGCAGGCAGGTGGACGACGGGCCCACAGGGAAGCTGGGGAAACCCACGAACCATCCACACAGTGGGCACTGCTCTGTGCTGGAGCCCCAGCGGCCCTGGACCAGCCAGGCCGAGGCCCACTCACCCCATGTGGGAGCACACAAGTGCTGGGCTGGGCAGGGGCGGCGGGGGTCAGAATCCAGTCTCCACTTACTCTCTGAGCCCATGGGGGAGGGTGCTGTGTGACGTGAGGTATGCACAGTTTGTGGTCACCCACACACTATCTCCCACATCACCCATTGGACACGGGGCCTGGGTGTCCAGGAGGACGTGGCAAGAGCCGTTAGAGTCGCTCCCTCCCCATAAACCTCCATGTCGGGGCCTACATGTGCAGGGGTGAGGGTGAAGGTCCTCACTGCAGTCTCAAGGCCCAGCAAAGGGGAGAGACCATACAGGTGGGCATCTGTGGGGGGGTGGAGCTTGGACCCCGCACGTAGGGTAGACACACTGTGTGCATACTGGTGGTGGTGGCCACGCCTGGTGGACACGCTGGGGCCGACCTGGGGCCGTGAGCACAGGTGCTGATGAGGTTGGACACGCAGAGTGGCACAGGACACGCCAGTATACATGGGAGGCCAGCATCCCATGCTCCCGGCTCCTGCACAGGCTTCCCTATTATAGCCCCCTAACTGACCGGTGGGCTGGGACCACTCTCGTGTCCCTTACACGCATGCTGGGACAGAGGCTGGGTGCTCCAGGCCCAGGGGACAGAGCCCAGGTGGAGCTCCATGCTCCTCCTCCCAAGCATGTGGACTGTCCACATGTCCCCGGCAGTGTCCAGCTGTGGCTCGGGAACAGGGGGGCCGCAATGCCAGTGAGGAGCCATTGCCCACTGTCACAGTGACTGTGGATAGCGGACACCATACGACCCTGGCAGCTGCTGGCCTGTGCCTGGATGATTCACCAGGTCCCGTGGCAGTGGCAAGGCGGGGCCCACGGGCACCAGCACCCGTCATCCACACCTGCTCCCGCATCCCGAGGCAGGTTGGGGGTCTCGGAGTGGGACATGTATCTGAGCCTGGCCATGAGCCCGCCTCGCACACAAGGTTCAGTTAAACCTGCAGCATGGCAGAACCCGCCCGTCTGCTTCCAAGTGCGGCCATGCCACTACAGACCTGTTCAGCAGGAAAGTGGAGGGAGAGGGGACAGGCATGAGGAGTGGCTGTAGTTGGGAGAGGCACCTGGAATTCTGGGGCTGGCCCAGGAGCACAGCCCGTGGTTCAGGTACGGCGGCCACAATGGAGACTTCTGGAATCTTCTCAAGGGAGTTTCAGAAACGGTCTGAGTGGCTTCGACAGGATGGCTACCAAGTGGAGACACCTGGGTGGGTCCTCATCAGGAGGGGCAGGACTGCCAACGGATCCCCAAAGCCGCCGGGCTGCCCGTCTCTCAGGGATGGACCCTTGCCCTTCATCACTCAGCTCTTTAGGGCCACACTGGCGATGCACAGGGGTGGCTTGCTATCAGATATGGTATCCTGACTGTGCTATCAGATATGGTCCTGGCAGTGCCTGGGGGACCATATGGAGTGCTGAGGATCGAACTCAGGTCAGCTGTGTGCAAGGCAAGCACCCTCCCGCTGTCCCTGTCTGGTCTGGCCCAACCCAGGCAGCTTTAGGGGCACAATGTATCCATGTTGAACAGACTCTGGAGCTTCTGTCTTCTTGTTGAACAGCAACACTGGTAAACTTGCTTCTATAGCTTCCATTTCATAAAATGCCAGAGCAATAATACTGCGGGGAGGGCACTTGCTTGGTACACAGCTGACCCAGGTTCAAGCCCTAAGCCCCACCAGGAGTGATTCCCTAGCGCAGAGCCTGGAGTTAGCCCCGCATACCACAAGGTATGGCCCCAAACCCAAACTCAACACACTGCCGCAGAAGGAGAGGAGCAAAGGAATGAGGGGTTTCCTCCAGAGAAAGGCGCAGTGGGAGGGCAGGGGGAAGCCGCAGGGATCTATGGGGTTCCCCTGGGATCCCCACTTTCCTGGGCTTCCCATCAGCGACACATCTGCTAATGAGGACTGAGGCCACTTGGAACGAGGAGGGTGGGGGCCAGGGTCGCACAGTCCACACCTGGGACTTGCTCACCTCTGGGGGTCACTTTGGGATGGGGGGTCACCTTTGAGCTAGGGGAAGCTTGGGAATGGGCCCCTGTGGATAACTGTCCTCACCCCTTCCCAACACCCTGGCCTAACCTGGTCACTTTCCCTGGGCCTGGGCATTCAGCTCTCTCTGCTCTTCCCTCCAGAACACCTCATCTCTGCCGCCTGGGTTCCAGACCGCGCTTCTTGCCTCTTCTGGGCTACCCCAGGGTCCCCACCCACCCACTCTCCAGAGTTTCCAGCCTCCCCCATGTTATGCTCCCTTTCCCCCTTGTGCTCAAAGACCCCGTTCTCTGCCCACGTAAGTCTGAGCTCCTGGGCTTATCTGCTGAACCCCAGTTATAGCCTCACTTCTCACGAGTGACCACCCTTCATCCCAGCCAAACTGGACACCTCCCTAAGCCTAGAATTTTCTGACCGCCCTTCTCAGACACACACTACGTGTCTCCTTTAATAGGACCCCTGAGAGTCCAGCACAGCAAGACCCAGTGTCAAGTGCCGGGAGCAGTGTGTGAAGCCGTTTCAGACAGCAGCCCGGACAGAGTCTAGCACCCCTCACGTACTGCCGTGACGTGGTTCCCACTGCCGCCTTCCCCATCTTCTTCCCTCGTGACTCATCAAAAGCCCCTGGAGTTGAATTCCTGCCAGTTCTCTCCATTGGAAGGGTTGGAGAACCTTCCAGAAATCCACTGCAGTATTTACCCACTCTACAAGCAAAACCAAACAGAGCATCAGGAGGGAAGGCGGCAATGTGCTCCGTCACCCTCTGCCCGCGCTCGGAGGGCCTCCCCACGACAACCCCCCCACCCCCAACCCCCCCGACAGGCAGGTCTCTGAAACCAGGGTCCCAAACAGACATGGGTGCATGAGCCAGGCATTCCCCCTCCCCCCACCCCCGCCCTCCAGCCACAGAGAGTGCCAGTGCCTTTGTCTGAGCCGCAGGGCTGAGCTCCCGGGTCTCCGGTTGTTTGAGCTGCGTTGCCAGCCGCGTTTATTAATTAGTGCCTGACATTTCCATCTCTCTGCAAGTTGCAACCTCTCATAAAAAATGCATAGTTTGATTGGCTTAGGGATGACAACTTCATTTACACCCGACAAATAAATACCATACCTCAACTCAGGAGCCTTCCCCATTCACGTATTTAACTACCTCCCTGGCCTCTGGGATTCGTACTAACTGAGTGAATGAAAGGCGGTAACTAGTGTAATTGTCCTTTCTTAATCATGTTTAGCAAAATGATTAAGCATTTTCCCACTTAAAAAACAAAAAAACAAATGAGGCTGGCTTAAATACATACACACACACACACACACACACACACACACACACACACACACACACCCCTAGATTCCCTACCAAAAATTTGGGGAAACTGTCTTCAGGGCTACTCCTCATCGCCCAGCTTTAAGATGCAGACCCATCAGTGTGGGAGTGAGGACTGATACTGTTTGGAAGCGGTTCAGTTCTTTTCCCCTCTCACCTTCTGCAGCAGAACTTTACTTTGGTTGATACTTTGCCAAACAAAGCCCAGCCCTGTTAATTCCTTAAGACTTTATTTCACTTTCTCCCTCTGCTTTGCACCTTCCCCTCTAATGTGAGCGCGTTTACCAACTTTGGAAAAGACTTGTTGGCGGAGCTTTGGGAAATCATGACGGCGGGTCGATTTTTTTTTTTTTCTATAAATACTCTTCATCTTGCAGCTCAGCCCTTGGAAGATCAAATAAAAAATTCAAGCCAAGGCCATTACATACATGGCAAGGGGCTGACATTTAAGTGACAAAGGTAAATGGGGGGAAGGGGCTCCGTGGGACAAGGTGCAGGCCCAGGAGTGAGGCTTTAAGGTCAGTGCTCCATCCCAGGGTCAGTGTTCCACCCCAAGGTCAGCACTCCATCCCAAGGTCAGTGCTCCATCCCACGTTCAATGCTCTTCCCCAAGATCAATGCTCCACCCCACAGTCAGTGCTCCACCCCAAGATCAGTGCTCCACCCCATGGTCAGTGCTCCACCCCAAGGTCAGTGCTTCATCCCAAGGTCAG